CCCCAAGTGTTCACAAAGCTCATAGCCTGGTGCTAGGTTTGCTAGGGTCACAGGGGGGGTGTCAATCTTAGAATACCTTGATGTTCCTGTGCTCAGGAAGCAGTCCGTTCCAAGCTTTAAAGTGAGATATAAGAACCAAAAGGTATCCTTCAGTAGGTCTCTGCATGAGGAAATGGTATCTACGTTGAAGCAGATTTCCTATGTACGGTTTCACTCCGGGTCTGTAGAGGAACATTCTATCTATCTGGTTCATGAAGGTCCAAGCATTAGATTGGCAGAGAGCTTTGTCCACAGGGTATTGCAGAGTCTGAATTGGTGGGTGGTTGTTCTGAATATGAAGAAAGGGTAATTTTCCTTCCAGTGATAGGAAAGATAGTAGCCTCCGATTCCAGACTCTCTGATTTGGGGGGCTGGTTTGGAGGTGAATACAGTTCAGGGGACTTGATCTCCACAAGAGGAAAGACTGCCCAGCAATATCTTGAAACTCGGGCAGTACGCTTTGATCTGGATTATTGGACAAACCAGTTGCACAAGTTGTGGTAATGGTTTGGTCTGACAATCCCACGGCAGTAGTTTATATCAACTACCAAAGCAGCACCAAGGGTTATGCTATTTCAGAAAAAGGTGCACCATGCACCACATTCTGTCTGGGGCAGAACAGCATGTTCCATCTATTAACAGTACATATCCCAGGTATAGGAAACTGGCAGGGGGTTTTCCCTAGCCGTCAGCGGCTGATACCGGCAGGATGGTCCCTGCATCCTGAGACATCGGCAATCTGTCTGCATTAGGGAACTCTGGATATGGATCTATGGACTTCCAGGTTTTACAACAAGTTTAGATATGTTGTGTCCAGGTCAGGAATCCCACTAATGGCCTACCCCAGGAGGGCTTGGTACACTGACATAGTGTATCTGGCAGTGGATGCTCTTTGGACACTTCTGGTCCTCCCAGACCTATTGTCTTGGGTCCAATAACATATCCTGCTTTACGATAGCTAGGACAGAAGGCCGGGCTATTGAAGCCCAGGTCTACAAGGATCGGGGAGGTCATGGTTCATGTTTTTTCCGTACTGTTGAGCGCCAGGAAGCCGGCTTCAGGGAGCTTCCATTATAAGACCTGTAAATCTTATTTGCCTGGTGTGAAGCCTTTTCCCTATCAGGGGAGGAAATGGAATTGACCTTTGGTGTCGTTTAGGGTCAGATTTCGGCTCTATACAACTTTTCCCATAGATCCTTGTTTCTCACTCCTTGATTCGTATTTTGTACTGGATGTAACATGGATTGTCCTGTCTGGTAGGCCACCCTGGTGTCCTGGAGACTTGAACCTGATCTTGGATGTTCTTGCAGAAGCCACCTTTTGAACCAATTAAAGAAATGTAATCTTTTGACTCAGAAGGTGGCTTCTGTGATTACTGTCACTTCAGCAGGAAGAGTGTAAGCTGGCGGCTCTTTGATGTAGGGAGCCGTTCTTAGTCTTGCAAAATGATGAGGTGATGTTGCGTCCTCATCCATCTTCTTGCCTAGAGGGGTTTTTAGTTTTCACTTAAATCAGGACAGTGTCTTGCCTTTCTTATTTTCCTAGTCTACAGTGGGCAGGGAAAAGATCGCTGTATACTCTGAATGTGCATCAGATGGTCAAGATTTACTTGAGTTTGGCGGCACAAGTCAGGATTCCAGGTTTGTGCTGCCAGAAGGGCCCAGAAAAGGCAGGCTGCTTCCAGGTCAACTATTTCTCATTGGATCTGCCAGTTAATCAGTCAAGCCTATGGTTTGAAGGATAAGATCCTTTCGGGTGAGAGCACCTCTACCAGGAGTGTGGAGACATCTTGAGTGATCTGCCATTGGGTGTCCAGTTGCTCAGATTTGCAAGGACGCTACATGGGCTTTGGTTCACAAGGTTCTACCAGGTGGATGTGAGAGCTGCAGAGCACTCTTTGGCCGCACCGTCTTGTGAGCGGCTGAGTAGATCTTGTTTGGTTGTTGGCGGTGGCTATCATGGTGTTACCCTCCCCTTAAAATGTCTTTATTTCTTTGACACATCTACCATAGTCATGAATAGCCCGCTCTGTGTCCTGTGATGTACGATAAAGAAAATTGGATTGTTTCTGCATACTTACCTGAAAAATCAATTTCTAGGAATTCACCACGTGACACTGAGGTCCCTCCCCTCTTTCTGGAATTTCATTGCTTGCTACAAAAACTGAAGTACTTCCTGTGTAGGAGGGGTTATATAGGAGAGGACTTCCTCTCTGATTGGTTGGCCAGTGTCCATTTACCTATAAGTGGCATATAACACACATAGTCATAAATAACCTGCCCTTTGTCCTGTGATGTACTCTTTTTACAGCTATGTAGAAAAAAAATCCAGTTTTATTTCCCAAAAAATATGTTGCAGAATAAATTTTGGCCTAAATGTACGAATAAATTAGATTTTTTTTTTATTGGATATGTTTTATAGCCTAAAGTAAAAAAAAAATGTGTTTTTAATTTCGCTTTTTTTCCATTGATAGAGCAAAAAATTAAAAACTCAGAGGTGATCAAATACCACCAAAAGAGAGCACTGTTTGTGGGGAAACAATTTATGTAAATTTCATTTATGTACAGACCTGTGCGACCGCACTGTTAGCTAAAATAACACAGCGCCACATAGCGAGAAATGGCCTGGTTGTGAAGAGGGATAAATCTTCCGGAGCTGAAGTGGTTAAGAGGCAAAATGTATATTATAGTAATAATGCAAAATGACAAAGTATAGTTTTTTCTTTGATAGAATTTTACCAGTTTAAACAAAAAATATAGTTCTGCCTAACCCGTGAAGCATGTCAGTGAAGGTTTTTTCCTTGAAATGGCCACTTGTGTAGCTGTTGCTTTTTCCCACTGGTTAAATATGTGAAACTCCCCAGTTTACAGTATATCAATAGCATAAGTATATCGAAATGATAGTCTGGTCCTGTCCTTTATACTGGATGAACAAATCCAGCACAGGAGAAACCAAAGTATTTGTTGCTAACACACCAAGGATTATTGAAGTAATGTCCAAGTGTTTTTTTCAGTAATCGATAAAGTGAAACATTTCGGGGCCATGCAGGACCCCTTCGTCAAGCTTGTGATAAGTGCAGGAAAGAGTACAAAGAGTACAAAAACCGGTATAGGAATACACTCCTGACCTCTGAATTCATATGTCATGAAACCCGCCAAAAGTATCAAATAATGACCCTGTCATATAATACATTCCTTGTGTGAATGTTATGTCAATAGAAAGGTCCTGGGCCCAGTACATTGTGTGGACATTATGTGGCTTAATAATCGTCCTAATTAGAGTCCTGGACCATGCTGCACCAATTCAGGCGTAATTATAGGATTTTCCCCAATCTAGGAGGTGCACAATCCTGTACCAGCCGAGGTGTCGTATTCAGGTGGAGCATGATACAGAACTTTATAACTGGGATGTGATTACTGAATACATGCTTGGACATTCTATCAATCCTTGCTGTACTGGCAATATGTATTGTAGTTTATTGTGCCAGTTTCCAGCTGGCAGTTGCTGCAGTACACATTTATTGCATGCCTTTTCTGTGAACGTGTGCAATGGGAGTCTTTTATGTGATAGTAGGATCAGGGTGTACTAGGTACACCCTAGAAATTTAGATCATTTTTTTTAGGTTGAACCTTGAGCCCCCAAGATCGACATCTAGGTAGTATAACCAGATGGTTGAAGAAAGGTTTTAGCTGGCTGCCAGCTAAAATTTTCTTTTATCTACAGTACTCTGATTTCTAAACCTAAAGACATTAAAGTGGACCTTTCCCAAAATTCATATTAGAATGTATCCCTGTATACTAATGTAAAATGACCTACCACTGCTGTCTTAAAAAAATGTTTTTTTTTCTTTGCTTTACTTACCTTTTTTTCAGTGTTACTTAGTTCTTCCCCCAAAGGCAGTGGTGATGTAGCCCTGATTGCACAGATTCCCTCTGGGAAGGCAATGGTAAAATCTGGTGCCTAAACTGCATATCTAAGCTCGTCATACTGTGCATGGGCAAAATGAAGTGTATGACCTCTTTCACCTCATTTGAGATGTCACAAGATTTCAGGGAAAGTTTTTTTTTTTTTTTTTTTTTTTTTTTTTCCTCCCTCTCTTTTTATTGCGACAGATGTGTGTAGTATTGTACGGCACATGATGTCATGCGCTTCACTTTGTGCATGTCCAGTATGAAGTAAGATTTCTAAAATGGTGGGGTGGGAACTGAGGCCCAGAAAGCAGAGAGGCAGGATGAAAACTGATAGAAATTAAGAAAAACTCACATGGACATAGGTAGGTATACTTGCTCTCCCCCCCTCACATATTATTGCTGGTTTTGTGTGTACGACTTTAATTAAGCATGCTTCCAAAAGTCTGCTCTATTGGTTGATGAAGGTTCCCTAAAATTGGACTGAAGACTGTGTAATAATCATTATTTTACGGGTATTCCTACATACCTCTCAAATTCGGCTGTGCAGGCAAGTCTGCGTAGTCGATGCCTACCCATTTACTTTCTATGCCCACAGTCGTGGGGAAAAAAAATAAACTGCTCTGGCCGCTGTGCTGAGCTGAAAGTCCACGTGAATGAGCCCTATAATAGCTGTCTTCATTATTTTCATGCAAAATATACAACCACCTCTGTAAAGGCTTTTTGTGGTCTTGGGTCTCTTTGAGAAGACACAGATACATTTATTTTAATCCATGCCCTAATTTTCAATTAAATAGCTTTTTGTCCTATGAATATCTTTGCTAATTGTCCAAATATATGTATACCACAAGTGTGAGTCGGTGTTGGTTCAAAATGCTGCAACCTAGACAGGCTTATCTAGTACTACGTGCAACCAGCAAGTCCCACATCATAAAATGTAATCATTATAGTGTGTATGTGTGTGTATGTACTGATTGAGCTGATATTAACAACGTTTATCATTGATGCAGATCTTTACCTGCTTGACACCAATCATTTTTTTTATACTTTCAGTTAATGGCACAAGTACTGCATCTGAAGTCAGTAGCACATCTTGCCATGAAACTGCAGCAACTTCTGTAGGATGTCACATATCAGATTGTACGGACTCCACAAACAATACAACGGACATACCAGCAGTGGACACATCAGAAAGCGGCACAGCTGCTGCCAGTGCTGCGGTTGAACCTGTAAGGGCTACGGACTCAACATCATCATCATCTGCTGCTGGCAGCTCGAGTCCTGAAGCAGCGAAAACCAGGCAAGCGTCTGTTACAGCCTCTGTGGATCCTGTGAGACAGCAGCCCAGCAGCACTGCAGAGCCTTTACCACCTGGGTATGCGCATGGATTGAGCTTTTCTAGTTGGTTAATGATCCCTGTTCAGCCAGCTGTCACATCTATTAGAGCATAGTCTGCAGTGCGGGAGCTCACACTATCCTCTCACTGTTATTTGCCTGTGCTAAAGAAGGATATTGCTGAATAATAATTTAGCTGCTCTGAAGAGAATCTATCGTAAAGCAGATCAATCTTGTTTGAGAAGCTTTTGATGTAAATTTCACTCCTGGATTGCAGAATAGTTCCATGGCACTTGCAGTGATATTAAGTACGTAAAGCTTCACTGGCCAGGAATGGGTATACAATGTAGAATTTAGCTTCTCTTTGATGCTTCGACACAGGATTTTTTTTCCTTGTGACTTGAGTAACTACTTGCCCGCCTGAGTAGGTCAGGGGGTTCCTGACCAGGCCATTTTTTGCATTATGGCGCTGCGTTACTTTAACTGACGATTGCGCGGTCATGCAACGCTGCAGCCAAATTAAATTTACGTCCTTTTTTTACCCAGAAATTCAGCTTTCTTTTGGTCGTATTTGATTGCCTACGAGTTTTCTATTTTTTGCACTCTAAAAAAAAAAAAAAAAAAAAAAAAAAGAGCAACAATTTTGAGAAAAAAAAAATAGATTTTTTTTGACATTTTGCTATTAAACATGTTCAGTAAAAAAATTTAAAAAATCAAATTTCATCATAACTTTAGGCCAAGATGTATTTTTTGTACTAGTAATTGCGGCTTTTTACTAGTAATCAGCAACTTATAGCAGGACTGCGGTGGACATTCTGACACTGAGGGGGAACTGACTTGGTGTCACTGACATCCTCAGTGACACCAATACAGTGATCAGTGCTTAAAAAAAACATTGACACTGTGCTAATGGCACTGGGCAGGAAGGGGTTAACATGAGGGGTGATCAAAGGGTTAACTGAGTGCAGGGAGTGTTTTACTAGGGCGCCGTGCCAGTGTGCTTCACTGTAAGCACACTGCTTTAGGTGACTGTGCTGTGCACAGCCATCCAAACCAGTGTGCCCGAGCTGACAGGGAGGAGAACTGTTAGTAAACAAAACAGTCGTCCTCCCCGTCGGAGATGCTCAGTAATCACCAGGTGCCAGCATGTAATGTGATTTTTGTGCACCCGTGCCACCCTGTAGCAGTCTTTCTGCTATATGGCAGTTGAGAAGTGGTCAAGTTAATCTCAGAGTTTTTTTTCCATACACAGTACAGTTAGCACTCTTATTTCGAGATAAAAAGACTGCGTTTGTTTTGCCAACATCCCTCTATATTTCAGACACAAAAAAATTTCATTGGAACTTTTTAGTCCAGGAGTGTTAAAGTTGATGTCATCGCTGACCGCATTGTCAGTATGGTTGCTCTGTAAGGGCCGGTTGTATCGGTGGTGCGCTGCGCACAGAGTGCAGGAGTGCAGTAGGCGCAGAATACAGGGTGCAGGAATGCGGTAAGTACAGGGTGCAGGAGTGCGGTAGGTACAGAGTGTAGGGTGCAGGAGTGCGGTAGGTACAGAGTGTAGGGTGCAGGAGTGCGGTAGGTACAGAGTGTAGGGTGCAGGAGTGCGGTAGGTACAGAGTGTAGGGTGCAGGAGTGCGGTAGGTACAGAGTGTAGGGTGCAGGAGTGCGGTAGGTACAGAGTGTAGGGTGCAGGAGTGCGGTAGGTACAGAGTGTAGGGTGCAGGAGTGCGGTAGGTACAGAGTGTAGGGTGCAGGAGTGCGGTAGGTACAGAGTGTAGGGTGCAGGAGTGCGGTAGGTACAGAGTGTAGGGTGCAGGAGTGCGGTAGGTAGGTACAGAGTGTAGGGTGCAGGAGTGCGGTAGGTACAGAGTGTAGGGTGCAGGAGTGCGGTAGGTACAGAGTGTAGGGTGCAGGAGTGCGGTAGGTACAGAGTGTAGGGTGCAGGAGTGCGGTAGGTACAGAGTGTAGGGTGCAGGAGTGCGGTAGGTACAGAGTGTAGGGTGCAGGAGTGCGGTAGGTACAGAGTGTAGGGTGCAGGAGTGCGGTAGGTACAGTGTAGGGTGCAGGAGTTCGGTAGGTACAGAATGTAGGGTGCAGGGTTCAGGAGTGCACTATGCACAGTGTGCAACCCCAGTCTCCCCCTCCCACAAGCTTCCTAGTATTGGTATCTCATACCTGGCCAGGCTCTAGTACCCCCCTGTGTAGGGGTTTCTGCCTTGCCTTCTGGAGATCTGCCCCATCATGAGTGCATACAGGGATCTGTTCGTTCTGGGAGCTGCTGAAAGCAAAGCTGCCTCTTGTAAACTCAGGCTTCTGTGTTTACAAGTGGAAGAGGGTGAGAGCCGGAAGTGGCAGAATTGAGTTCTGCCACTCTCCGTTCCAAAACTGGGTGTGAGGGCACCATGACGAGGCTTGGGGGCTAATCGGATCTGGCCCGTGTGCCTTGTGTTTGACATGTGGTTTAGGCAAATATCTTTGCAAGTAAATGTAACTTTATTTTTAATTTTATTAATATAACAAACATTTTATACTTACCTGCTATGTGCAATGGTTTTGCACAGAGTAAATTGATCCTCCTCTTCTTGGGTCCCTGCCGGTGCTCCGCTGAGTGTCCCTATAGCAAGCAGTTTGCAGATGTGCGTGCTCACTCCTTAAGACACAGGGAGGGGCTCAGCCCTGCCTCCCCCGCTCCCTCATCAGTGGCCGTGATTGACAGCAGCAGGAGCCACTGGCTCCAGCTGCTGTGTCTGAGCCAATGAGCAATGAGGAGCGAGAAAACCTCAGCTCTTGTGCACATCGCTAGATTGGGATCTGGCTCAGGTATGTATTGAGGGGGGCTGAGGGGTAAGCTGCATGCAGAAGGTTTGTTTTACATGTTTATCTGTTTACGCAGCTCAACATCATCTTTTACATGTTACCAAAAACTGGGTATTTTTAATTTTTGCTACAACTGTCATTTTATTCTTCTAGGGCCTTGCTTTCGGAAAATATTTAATGTTTGGGGATTCTGAGTAATTTTCTAGCAATAAAATGCTGATTTAATATGTATATGGAAAATGTCAAAATTAGCCCAGATGTGAAGTGTTCCAAATGCAAATGGTTTTGTGTGTGTGATAGTACAGTGTATAGAGTGGGATGGTTTGGAGAATGTAACATATAACACAGCCAGAAAGGCCACACTTCTACTAGTGGGCGCACAGTGGCTAAGTAATCAGAAATTCTGCCTGGCAGCACTAGGGTCATTGGTTCAAATCCCAACCATGGCACTACCTGCATGGAGTTTGCATGTTCTCCCTGTGCCTGCGTGGGTTTCCTCTAGATACTCCGGTTTTCTCCAACCTTCCAGAGACATGCTGGTTGTTTAATTGGCTCTTGTCGAAATTGGCCCTAGTATGTGTGTGTATGAATGTGAGTTAGGGACCTTTATATTGTAAGCTCCTTGAGGGTTAGGGACTGATGTGAATGTACAATATGTATGTAAAGAGCTGCGTAAATTGTTGGAGCTATACAAGTACCTGAAATAAATAAAAGAAATAGTAGTGGAGCGGTAGGGTTATGTAGCTCTGGATTCTTTGTAGGTAAGCCTGCCAATAGTTTTTTATCTTCTAATGTAAAAGCTCTTAGTAGACAGCTATCTGGTGCACATGGGCCATGAATAGGCTATTGATGTGCAGTAAAACAAAATTATAGGAATGAGAGCACCAAACTGGTATCAGAGTCCAGAAGCCATTTATCATGTACAGTGTTCAGTTAAACAGCCAGTGAATTTTAGGGGTCCTTCAGGACCCCCTTCATGAGGGTTATAATGTTGAACTAGGGGAGATGTGTGCAATGGAAGGTAGATTTGGATATAGAAAAGCAATTATTGGGCATTTACATAAAGCCTGCTCCATTTGCAGGTGTGCCAGAGTGATCTACTCCAGAGTAACCCATTCTGCACCCAGTACAGTACATCATATACTCTACATCGCTTCACTTTGAATGCTATACTGTACTTTAATCCATACTGCTGTCATTTTTGTCTTCTGAGTATCTAATTGCACAGATTGTGGCCTTTTTTTTCTACTATATCAACACAGAGTAGAAACTTAGACCTTTTCTTCTTCTTTTTTTTTTTTTTTTTTATGCTATTGATTTACACTTGCTGCAATTGCATTACATTGGCCAAAATATGGGACAATTTTACTGATCTACTGTTTAGTCTTAGACTTCTTGTGTCTCTCAATAGAGAGAAACAAATTTCATTGTCCTAAACCACTAAAGTGTTACTAAACCCAGGATCCTGTATATCTGATCTCCCACAGTACACAGAACATGGAAGTGCAATTATTTCCTTATAAACTGCTAAATACCTTCTCATCAGAACTTAGAGCAGTCTTGTGACTTATATCAGTGTCCAGCTGAGCACTGGTTCAAGCTTGTAGGAGGAGTTTTCATTCTCTCACTGCCCTATGGGGCTGCATAACCCTTGACCCTCTGTCTGGACAGTACTGATTGGCCCAGTGCTGATCACATGCACCCTCCCAAGAAAAAAAAAAAACTCTAGCAGTACACACCAAACTGAGCATGTGCAGAGTGTCCCCAAGACTATCAGGAGATGAAATGGGGAACGTGGAAGAAGGGGAGGATCAGAGAAGACAGGATCAAACATCCTTTTTTCACAATGCAGAGGATTAACCCCTTAAGTTCCACAGTGAATATAAAAAGCACACTTTACTGCATATACAGAATAATTTTACTGTTCTGAGTTTTGTAGCCCTTTAGTCTTTTCTCAGCATAGCTAAGTGAAGAAGCTAGAATACTAGGAAAAAAAGGAAGGCATGCTGGTAGGAGGTTAGGAGGGTTTATCCTGGGATGGTCTACAGTTTAGTCTGCTGTTATCCATTCCTCCTGTAAGCAGCAGTATAACCCGAAAGTTAGTTTTCCTTTGTCCCTTAATGGACCAAAAAGAAATTAGATTTTTGTATTTACCATAAAATCATTTTCTTGAAATCCATAAAGGGACACTGTAAGTCTTTAACTTTTGGGTTATACAGCTGCCTAAGGAAGGATTGGACACTGGCAAACAGAAAAATGTAGGCTGGCTAAGGGTATGCCCCCTGTCACTACCAGCATGCCTCCGTTTTTTGCTACAGATCTGGGAGGATGGATGTGTTAAGCTATTCTGGATTGTAGATTGTCACATGTGAACACTCTGTGCTCTTTCCCACCATACAGTGTAGAAGTAGCATCTCCCTGCTGTGGCTTTTGTTGCAAAGAACAAAACGGAACTTTGATCTTTAAACCGTTCCTACTGTCTGCCTACAGTGACATTGGTCATTTCCACTCACTGACCCTTGCCTGCTACCAGCTGTCTGGATTTCTGGAGTACTTGAGGCCTAGTCTCTCACCCTGAGCCTGTGCATTGCAGAAATACTTTGTGGCCACAACATGTCTGATTCTAGACACAGGAGGGACAGTCACACTTTCTACCAACAGGTTGGGAGCTGCTTTCAATGTGCCTACTGATGGTGCCTAAAGTTATGGTGCCCTCTACTGTTAGTCTTTCCAATCTGCAGAGTCTTAATTCAGGTTTCTTCCTAACAACATGATCCCAGCTTTGGCTTTAAACTTGAAGAAAAACAATATTAATCATACAATACAAATCCACTATGGTTGGTAAAAGACAGTTGAATAAAGGGCTCATTAGCATTTAGTCTCTGGGTGCATTAAAGAGAACTTGCCTGATAAAAATGTGGGAAATATCATTGCAGACTTGTTTATACAGCTATAAGCTCTGTTGAAGTCCAGGCTATTCTTTCATCTCGACATAGCGGGTCACTGATCTGAAACAAGCATGTAGCTGGTGATGTGTTGGGACACCTGACCTGACCTGCACAATTATATCAGATTAGTGACGCCCAGAGTGAAAGTAAACGGATGACAACCCTGTAACTAGCACTATCATAAACAGATCGGGCATTATTATGTTCTGACAAGTGCCTTCTAAAGGTGAACTCCAAGCATACAGCCAAAATACACATTTTGGTACACTTGCCAGAAAGCATAGCCAGGTCTGGGACCTTTACTGCGGCTGCAGCAGGGCTTGGACTCACCCCTGCCCTTGCGAAGACCGTGGCGAAGCAGAACACTGGTGATGTCATCCCAATGGAGAAGCAGAGCACTCATAATGTTATCCTTCTGCTCTCTCATCAGGCTGCACATTAGTAGTACATTACTTCAGAGCTTGTTTGAACCCTAATGCTCACCCTTCCTAATGCTGCTTTACAGGGGATGATAGAAGGCTGATCTAAAAGTTTTATGTGTTTAAACTCGTGTATGTGTGTGTGTGTGTATATATATATATATATATATATATATATATATATATATATATATATATATATATATATATATATATATCTGTCTGGGGTTTAGCTTTAAGTCTGAAATGAATGGTGTGTTCTACTAAAAAAGACTAAGTGTAAAAAAGATGTCAGCAAGCATTCATTCCATTCATATTTATTGTTATACCCTTTTACAAGCCAGAGCAGTTATATAATTGCTTAACTGCATTAATTGGTTGTTTGCTTTTAGATGGGAACAGAGGAAGGATCCTCATGGTAGAACATATTACGTTGATCACAACACAAGAACGACGACGTGGGAGAGGCCGCAGCCTTTACCTCCTGGGTAAGATGGACAGCTGACTAACATGTTATACCATAAATATTGATCTGTGGAAGATGAAACTTTACTACAGCCAGCCAAATACTTCTGATGCCTTGGTGAAAAATCAAATGCACCATGAGTTTTGTGACTGACAAACTAGGACTAACATATGACATGTACAGTATATGGGTTCATAAGAGCGCTGTCACTGTACTAGAAATCATGAAGTTGTACAAATATTGTTTGGCATGATGGGATTTAATCTTCAACAATTGGAGATCAGCAGGTTCATTCAGCTGCATTAGTTGATGACCATTTACAAATCAAGCATTCAGTGTGCTGCAATGGGGTATCCCTGACCAGTCCCACACCACTTTATGCAGGGGCTAGATCAGTGGTTCTTAATCTTGTTGGAGGTACTGAACCCCACCAGTTTCATATGCGCATTCACCGAACCCTTCTTAATTGGAAAAATAAAATATGATTTTTAAAATTCAAAAACATAGATATATATTTAGGTATATATTTATACATAGGTGCACAAAATGAACAAAACCGTTAAGAACAAAGAACAAAACCATTAAAACATGATTTTCACACAAAAACATAATAATGAATATTTACTGCACGAATCATATGAGTCGGGTGTGGGTCTTCACCTCCGCCGAACCCGCGAGACTGACTCACCGAACCCCTGGGGTTCGATCGAACCCAGGTTAAGAACCACTGGGCTAGATGGAAAAAGACAATATTGATGATTTGGAATTTCTCAAAGCAAGTAAAGTATATGACTGGAGACTCTGGTACAGGTATAGGTAGTTGATAACATTTATGTCTGCACCACATCACAAATAGAGTAAATTTACCAAAAAAGTATAATTTAGGGACATCTGTATATCACAGTAACATATATGTGGGGTCCCCATAAGCCTCATCTATTTTCTCTATGAATACTAAAATTGGAATTCCGTGAAGTCCTCTTGAGGAAACGGGTATGGCCTGCTAAATGCTTTTAGGCTTATGAGGACTCCATGTATATGTATATACTGTGATATACAAATGATTTTGATATGATACATGTAACACTGGTAACATAGGGGTGTCCCATATAAAGTTAGGATGTTACAAATGGAGATGATCTATTTTAGCTAAATGTCATCTATGCATTTTTTTTTTTACTGACTTTGGTTAATAAACTTTGTAAAAACATTTTTAGTTTATCCTTGAGCACTATAAGGCCATATATATGAATCTGTATATATATATATATATATATATATATATATATATATATATATATATATATATATATATATATAATAAAATAAAAAGCAGGTGAGCCTTCCAAGTGTTTGTCTTTTTAAATTGAAGTGATTATTTCACCACCAATAAATGTTTTGTGACAAAAAAGGTTTGTTTGCTAAATTCATGTATTATAAACAATTGCTATGATGTTTTCCATTAAATGATTTATATCTTTTATTTGTAATCCCTATACCTCTATTAGCCCTTGTCAGCAACTTCCTAATGGCTATTGATAACAATTGACCATGTATACCCGATGTGTGCCAATCGATTTAATGCAAAAACTGAAGTTGCAAGTTAAAAATAGTGTGTGCATGCAAATCTACAAAACAGTTTCTTGAGGCTTTCTCAATAGGTTTTCTAACTGATGTAGAGCAGAAATCCTAGGATTCTTTTCTTCTGGTTTTGATCTTGGACTGCATAGCTCAGTGGTCAGTCTTTCCACACCTCTCCTACATGTTTGCATAAGAAGCAAAGCACATGACTGCAGTTAACAACAGTGGTGTGCCTTCTAAAACTTGTAACAAGTGACTGATAAAAGAGCAGAAGGATTAGGGTGGGGATAGAAGCACCCTCTTACACACCTAGTTCCTGGCAAAGAATGAAAGCCATTCCTACTTAAAACTCTAGTGGATTCTCAGGAATAAGTGCAAAACACAATTCTAGAGGTGACACCAGTAACTGGGCTGAACATCTGAGCCTTTTTTGGTCACAGATGGATAGCTAGGCAGCAGAGTCATGTAGATGCTGAAGGCAATCAATACCTGGCTTAACACACAGAAAAATGAAGAGATCTGTTTGGAGTTTAAGATCTTCCTACTGAATAACCACCTTCACTTTTTATCCTTCAGATGGGAAAGACGGGTTGATGACCGTGGAAGGGTTTACTATGTTGACCATAACACTAGAACTACGACATGGCAGCGGCCTACCATGGAGTCTGTGCGGAACTTTGAACAGTGGCAGTCACAACGAAACCAACTCCAGGGGGCTATGCAGCAGTTCAACCAGCGATACCTCTATTCGGTGTGTGAGGTCTCTTACGAATTATCTGGGTACACTGTAATTTGATGGAATGCTTTTGGCTTTTTATTGGTTACATTCCTATGAAGTTGTAGCTGCAAGAAATGCTGCTTTTATTCATTTAGCCACAGGAACGTGCTTAATCAAGAAAGTGCTGTAAAAAACAATAATGATTTACAAAGTGCAGCAATTCATTTCAGCCTGATGCAGTCTGACACTGGTACAACTACTGTAAATTTAAACCGTGCTCATCATTATGCTTCTAGGACTGCTAAAGTGATTCTGTACAAACTTATGGCAACCACTGCAACCTATGACTAGCCTTTGTAGCAAAGAGCACATGGAAGGGAAATGCACATCAAAAACAAACAAAAATTCCCAGCTCACTTACCAGCCAGCCTGCAACACACCCGAATTGACCCTTTCTAACCATTAACATTAAAAACACTAGTGGTTTAGTCACGCTCAATTGCAAATATATGTGTAAGCTGCAGTGGTCACGTCAAGACACCCCAGTGTACTGCAGTCTTAACTCTATAATTTCCTTAAAACCCTTAAGCTGGCCATAGATGGAGCAATTTCCTTTCCTGCAACCATGGGTTAAAGGAAATAAAATCACTATTCCCCCATCGACACAGTCAGTGTTGATGGGGAAGTCCCTCCCACAGAGAGCCATTGTGTTCTGGTGGGGACAGCGCAAAAACACAGTGATTACTGCTAGCGACTAGAACAGCAGCTAGCAATAATTGCATGTAAAATCCAACAGGCTGGTTGTACCAAAGTTGATTGATCTGCCCATACATGGTTCAAATCTCAGCTGGACCCTGCTGAACCAGCCTAGATTAGAACCACAGTAAACTGGGGTGCCTTGACATGGCCACTGCAGCTTAGACATTTATTTGCAAATGTGTGCGACTAAAATCCTTGTTTTTAACATGAACTGATAGACGGAGTCAGTTCAGTTTTGTTGCAGGCTGGTTGGAAAGTGAGCTGGAAATTTTTTTTTTTTTTAAAAGTGTTTCTGTAGCTTGATAACTAGTAATTAGGACACCTTGTGTTGTAAAATTACAACTAGGGTGCTGATATACAGAAATTGTTTGATATGTTGTGATGAGCACTCATGGCTTATGTGGGTGTACTCCCCCCATATTAATATCTCAGAGGCAAGTTGAATAGTTAACACGAGGAGCCAGATCAAAACCAATTAAAGCCTAGTTAAACAGTTAAAGGAGATGTAGGGTCAAAGCTCCTTTTGGTCCTACTTTTCCTTTGGGTCACTGGAGTGCACTTTGTTCTGCACTCCTGCGATCCATATTCAGTTGACAGCGGCCTAAAATCTGCTATCAGTTGACGTCGCTCAGCCAGTCCATACTCTGGGGGAATTCCAACTTTAATGTTGGGATCCACCAGGATATCTGACCAGCAGCTGGCTCAGCCTTGCTGTGCGCTGCTGAGAGCATAAGCCATCCACTCCCACCACAGCCAGGTGCTCCATTGAGTGCTGGAGGGGCAGAGCAGAGAGCCAGTGACTGACTCAGTTCTTGATCTTAGAGGCAGTGTAGGGACAGATGTCTTATCTGCCTAGGTGAGTATGACCTTTGCTTAATATCTGCTAAATACATTCCAGGTGCATCAATAGAAAAGGTATGCTATCTCATCATTTGATTTATTCATAAAATGGCCACAGCAGCATGCAATAGAGAAGAACCCTTGCTCTGTTCGGAAGCAATGGTCAAACACAGTTATAACGATGCAGGAACCATAACTTATTTTGTTTAGTTTCAGAAATGATCTTTCTTAGGAGGTTAAAAGGTTTGTGTGGCCATGCATCTCTTCCTCCTGATCGTGGGCGGGGTATCAGGACATTGTGCCTATATTCAGTAGTGTCTTCAGCCTGAGGCAAGCTGCAGGCTGTGCTTGAACAGGGGGTCTGCTCAAAGAGCAAGGCTGTGATTGGCAGGGGGGTGTGGTGGCTGAACAAACTACTCAATACAAGCATGTTATGTGTCTGCACATTGTCCTGTACTTCTGACTTGTCAGCCTATGGATGATAACTGACAATAGAACAAGAAAGAAAGGTGACTAGCAGGATCAACCAGAGGTACTCAGATGAAAGAAGTACATTAAAATGATAGAGAATATAGTTTATAAAATACACATGTGAACACACACAGCAAAAATGAACGTTTAGGGCAACATACACTTAAAAGCTGAACAGGCAAACATCCAAACACACAGTGGAATACCTAAATGGCAACTGTTTTGTCAATCTGAGCAGTCAGTCTTGTGATCCAGACAACTATGTCATTGTGCAGAACCAGCACATTCATTTCCACTAAAAGGATTTTGTTTAGAACAGTAGAATGGAGAGGTGGAGCCATGAAAAGACTTCCTCAAGATCTCTGTAGGTGTTTTCCTGTGCTGTGCTGCCTCATAGAAAGTGGATTTGTCATCCTCTCCTGCCACAAGACCAAGGTCTATCAAGAGACCGTCATCTAAGGAACATCTAATTGACAGAATTTTGTAAGTCAGGAGACCCTGACTTGTTCAAACTGCTGACCCTGCCCTTTACTAGTGACATTCTTGCTGTGCAGGTGATCACAGAAGACTGAAATAAAGACAGATATAAAATATATTTTAATGAATATTTTATATGTTTATATTGTGGATTTTGTTTTCTGCCAAGAATTCTGCATTAGGGCCCATTTTAGGTGGGTGTGTATTATACACGTGTTGCACTGGCATTTTGGGGATGTACCTATTCATTTCTTATGGGCGCATACACACATCAAACTATGCACATGACCCTGCACACACAGCAATCATATGATAGAAAATGTCTGAGCTGCATTGCAATTTATTGGGTAAAAAAAGATCTGATGTTTGTTTTTTGTGTGTGGAAATGCATTGAGAGCCTGTATTGTAATGGATGGGTACATTCAACATGTTTTCTCATGATGACTCCTATAATTAGGAGGTACAGCCTGTACTGCAATGCAGATGAATAGGTGTGTTTGGGCCCTTTTTATGTGTTTACTTTTTTTTTAAGTTCAGTTATCTGTTCTAAAGGAAATGTTTGAAGATATTCACTAGTAATACTAAAATGTTGCATTCTAGGCTTCCATGTTATCAGCGGAAAATGATCCACTAGGACCTTTACCACCAGGCTGGGGTAAGAGAATATTATAGTGGCATAAATCCATATTATTGACTTGTGGAAGATGGCTCATCCTGGCATTGCAAAGAACAATATCTGTGTGAATTCTAGATACCGGTCTGAAATGAGCTGTTAATGCAAAGCTGTCATGAGAGAAGTCCAATGGCTTGCAAATTAAGCTGCCTCAAAATATGATAGTTCTTTGATTGTAACTGAACTCTAACTTTTCGTTAGATTTTTTTAATATGACTGAACTTATACATGTGTTTATTTTCCAGAACGAAGAGTAGACTCCACAGATAGGGTATATTTTGTAAATCATAACACAAAAACAACTCAGTGGGAAGATCCTCGGACACAAGGGTAAGATTTTGCCATTTGTCATTTATTTTATTCATTACTTTGCTTCATTTCACCACAGATTCAAAAATGCAGTGTACCCATATATTTACAGAGCATTGACATTTCCCATAATTCCCTGCACTTTTAGGCTCAAGGCATTCTAGAATTATATCCATCTAGTGAATAAGGTTGCAGGTAGAAACGACATTCCTGAAGCAAGAAGAAATAAGATTTCAATTATTGGTGCAGGATGCAGTATTACCTGCCTTTTTTAGGTTTTTGCTTTTATTTTAGTAAAAGGATAAAATGAAAACCTTTTATGCCCATGTAACTAAATGAATTTTCCCCCACAGTTTTAGAATTTTCCAGTAACTCTGCCTGTTTGTGAATTTTTGCATAGCAGTCAGACCATCTGCATGCAGTGAATTTATGAGCAGTGTCCCATATCCAGCCCATTATCTTTGTAAAGACTTAATTTTCCCAGCACCATTTGCAATAGCAGCCCATAACCCTTCTTGGTATTTTGTTTGCAACCTTGATTGTGAAATCACCATTTTAGTGCCAGTTCACACTACAAAAATGCACTCCAGATACATTTTTTGCTTACAGTTCACACCACACACAGTTCTGGTGCAGTTTTAATGCAGTTTTCTATGTTCCAGTATGGTTCTGTGCAGAAAAGAAATGTGGCATGTTCTACTTTTTTTTTCTGCACCGGAAACTGACTGGAACTGACTGCACTAGTGTGAACCAGGGCCATTGGAATACATGGAAAGCACTGGGTATGCATTTTTGATGCAGAAAAAAGCGCACTGAACTGCATCTAGTGTGCACTTAATAGTTTCTTTGGATAGCATCAGTTTTCAGTTCATCTGGTTTTCACTTGACCCCCTTTTTGGGTAACTAACTTTTCTCCATTTGTAGGGCTCTTTGGATTTAACATATCCAGAATGCAAGACTGGCAAGTCCTATGAAACCCTTTTCCAGGCCATTAGAGCATAAATTTCATAGTTCAAACAAGTTATAGTTGTGCAAATACTCTTGCATTTTCTCAGATCAGTTTGTAGCTGATTCAGAAAGAATTATGACATCTAGTGAACACAATTACTCAATGATTTTTAAAATAATTTTTTAACACAAAACCAATTGACAAGTATGCACAGTACAAACTGAAGCGGAACTTCACTGCAGCTGAGCCCCACAAACCAAAAAAGCTTTAATTCATTTTTAATATTCAAAGCAAGCCTACCAATTCATCCATGTCTCCATGTTTTATTTTGCTGAGAAATTACTTTGAAAAACACCCCCTAGCATTTCTGACCGTAGCCACCTTGAATAAGGGCAGATGATTCATGCAGCATATACTTCCTGGAATCCATCTGCCCTTAGCTCAGACATGCAGGCAGGAGGGAGTGCTTAGCTAAGAAAATACCTCCTCCTCTCCTGAAGACTTCTAGGATGTATGTCATCATTTGCCTAGGCATGGAAACCAGGAATTAACTGAATAGATGTAAAAAAAAAAAAACAACCCCAAAAAAGTCTGAAAAAGTGTAAATATGAAATACATCCCTATCTATTTACTAATGCTAGCAGCATAAGGATTAAAATAGTGTTGACTGAGAGGGTGAAGTTCCGCTTTAAGCCCAACCGTTATCTGTCCTGAGGCCTCAATATTTTGCAGTTAAGAATATAGGCTAAATTTACTTTGGGCCAGAATGCCTAGGCACCAGCATGTGTTCTCTATGAAAAATGCTTTTCTCTTTTTGATGTCCTATGCCAGTATTTAAATACATTATTTTTTAAATATTTCAACATAACATTATGCCAATGATTTGATTTCCCAAGGATCACTCCAAGTGTCACTACGAATATCACTGTTATGTCCTATGCTCTGTTTACATGTTACTGTAAAATGCTGTATTAAGAAAGGCCACCTGTTAATGGTTGCTCCCTTCCCACAGTTTACAAAATGAGGATCCTTTGCCAGAGGGCTGGGAAATCCGCTACACAAGAGAGGGAGTAAAGTACTTTGTAGATCACAACACAAAGACCACCACTTTCAATGACCCTCGGACTGGAAAGTCTTCAGTGTAAGTAATGGCAAGCATGTTCGCCTGTCCCATTCAGCTCCAGGAGTGGAATACAATTATTGTTAACTACCCTAAACACAAAAGTTAGGATACATGTGTGAGTTTTTGGCAGTGATGGTTGTTCAGCTCTTTCCCATAAACGTCTGAAGTTTTTTTTGTCCCAATGCAACAGAGCCAGTAGATATTCATCCTGCATTTGGGCTCACCCAGAGCTTTGCATGCAGTGTGCTCTGCTGTGCTGTGACCAGGCTGAAACGCTTTTAAATTCCTTGCTGTGATGAAGCAAACACAATGCAGAGTGTCACATTGTGGCTGTGCGTGTTGCAGAAGGTTTCTGTAAAAAAAAAAACATGCGCATCACAATCTTTCTAACTGTAGTTACATGAAAAAGAACCAGCTTTCCCATGATTTTTTTTCTGTGAAGAATATACATAATATATGTATATCTCTTTTCTGTCTATATGACATTTTATTTTTCTTTAGCTCATTCAGTCTGTTGCTTCATTTCACACCAGTGTTGTCACTTACCTTGCATTGGAAAAACTACTATGTATAGCTTTTTTAAAGAGACCTACCTAGTGTATATTATTGTTTAGAGCAGCCCTTTTCAACCAGGGTGTCTTCAGGTTTCTTCAGGGGTGCCTTGACAAAATGCCTAAAAAATGCCCACAAATAGTATACTAGCAGCAGGTGGATCAAGCCTTCTTTTTAGTTACACAAAGCCACAGATTTTCATTGTGTACCATTACAACTTTCTAGCCACTGACGACATAACCAATGATGTCATCAGTTGATAAGGACATCGGGCACCTGCATAGCATCCTTGCTTGCCCCTTCCCTGCCCCTCTTTGTAAGCACTGGGGTCACACTAGCTGAGTGAGAGAGAGAAACTGAGGCAGAAGAGAAACAATGGAATACTAGTCAGTGCCACTGTGCAAAAGTGTAACTGCTTTTGGAAGAATAAATCACCTCTAACGTTTGGTGTCCTGCATGTGCAGATGTTGCTACGTCCTGTAAAACTATTTGTTTAGTTTTTTACATTTGGTATAAGGTGCCTCAAGATTGTGCAGAATTTTAAAGGGTGACTTGACTGAAAAAGGTTTAAGAAATACTGGTTTAGAGTATACACACGGTGCACAGTTGGGGAAGACTATGCTGTTGATCAGTTTTCGTCTATCTTCAGTGGTAACAATGTGAATGGGGTTTGCTTGGTCGTCTCCAACTAGAGATATAGAGAGTTTATTTTATTAAGAGTCTTGCACATTGCCTTTCTGTATTCATATCAGTTGAGATTTTGTAAGGTAGCATGTTAGTTGTTTTCTCCTTGCAGTATCGCCATACATGTCACGTAAAGGGACCTGCAGGTATTGCCACGTTCACAGTGTCAGTTGGAAATTTTATACACAGAATTCTATAAGACATCAGTTTTAAAACTTTAAAGAAAAATTAAAAAATGCGTTGGATTCATTTTATTTTTTCTTTAAAAGGAAAACTGTAGCGAGAGAAATATGTAGGTTGTCATGCCTATCAAATAGCCTATTTGCGTTGCAAATAGCGAAAACTCAGATTACACATATGACTACATGAGTTAGAGAATTAACTTATTCCCCTCTCTTCCCCTTCTATCCCCGCTCTGTAAATGCTGCCAGAGAGAGAGAGAATCCCCAAGGAAAAAGCTACTGCTGTGCCCAGAATGCTTTGAAGGGTTCAGGGTGCACTCTGTTTTGTTACCATGTAAAGTATAGGTTTGCTTATCCAATGTGACGTATAGATAGAGTTAGCTTACCATTGTAGTGTAAATGTCTCTAAATTCATATCTGTTTTAATTTTAGTAATGGAGCTACCTAGGAGTACCCCTTTAAGAATTGAAAGTTATATTTGTATGGTGGGTGTAATGACCTATTTTTGCTCTAAGGAGAGAGTCCACCTTTGGGTAATTATTTGCTGAATCCCATGGTATAAGAGTCAGGCCTTGAAACAACCTTGAGTGACACGAGGGAGTTGTTAGTGTTTTGTAGTGAAAAGTCATCTGGGCTACACTGCCTTGCAGCTCATTTGTGTTTTAAAGCTGCAAGTGTTCTTGTGTATTCTGCCCACTTTTATGTATAGTTTCCTTGTCACACACACAATGAGCAAATGGACATGGTGCCCTGTGCAGCTAGCACTGATGTATCCTGCATACCTATATAGAAGCCAGCTAATGAGCCTTTGAATGTGTTGTTTTAGGAAATGGTGTGAAATTAGCATAATTTAGATATTAGAGTGAGAGGATTTCTTTTAACAGGCATTCATATTAATTAGAGAACTCTCCCACTCAAATATCAAAGGTTTATTCTCCTATGGCAGGGGTGTCAGACTGGTGGACCTCCAGCTGTTGCAAAACTACAAGTCCCATCATGCGTCTACCTTTCGGAATCATACTTGTAACTGTCAATCTTGTGATGCCTCATGTTGGCAACAGCTGGAGGGCCACTAGTTTGACACCCATGTCCTACGGGGTTTATTTCGTCTTTCAGGGACTCTAATAGGGAGTTTTAGCCACAAATGTTCCATGTTCACCCTTGTACCACATTTGCTGTAAGGGGGGTTTCACCTCTGCTTGTTGATTTTTTTTTTGCCTCCTTGTAACGCCACCTGTGAAATTCTAGACGTTTCTTTTTTTCCCCCTTTGTTTCATTTGTTTGGAATGAGCACTGTATGTTACTTGCAGTTATGTCCACTGCTCTATACACACTACAGATCCCATAGTCCCTGGTCTATGTCGTGCACCAGCAAGAGAGGCTGGCTGCATTCCTACATGTGGTGCAATTGTAGAACAAACATAGCCATTCACTAACAGGAAGTCAGATCACAGCAGAAAAAAAAGTAATTTGGAGATTTGTGTATTTGTGCTGGTTGCACAGTGTTGGAACGGTGTATTTGTGCTGGTTGCACAGTGTTGGAACTGTGTATTTGTGCTGGTTGCACAGTGTTGGAACTGTGTATTTGTGCTGGGTGCACAGTGTTGGAACGGTGTATTTGTGCTGGGTGCACAGTGTTGGAACGGTGTATTTGTGCTGGTTGCACAGTGTTGGAACGGTGTATTTGTGCTGGTTGCACAGTGTTGGAACGGTGTATTTGTGCTGGGTGCACAGTGTTGGAACTGTGTATTTGTGCTGGGTGCACAGTGTTGGAACGGTGTATTTGTGCTGGGTGCACAGTGTTGGAACGGTGTATTTGTGCTGGTTGCACAGTGTTGGAACGGTGTATTTGTGCTGGTTGCACAGTGTTGGAACTGTGTATTTGTGCTGGTTGCACAGTGTTGGAACGGTGTATTTGTGCTGGTTGCACAGTGTTGGAACGGTGTATTTGTGCTGGTTGCACAGTGTTGGAACTGTGTATTTGTGCTGGTTGCACAGTGTTGGAACTGTGTATTTGTGCTGGTTGCACAGTGTTGGAACGGTGTATTTGTGCTGGTTGCACAGTGTTGGAACGGTGTATTTGTGCTGGTTGCACAGTGTTGGAACGGTGTATTTGTGCTGGTTAAATAGTGAAGGAACTGTGCGTTTGTTTGTTTTTTTGCGCTGGTTGCACAGTGAAGGAACTGTATAATTGTGCTTGTTGACTGGCAAAGAAACATTTTGTTGATTTATTATAGTATAGTAATTAAAATTAATTTTGTGACCTCAGGAATTTTAGCACTCCAGCCTGGTATAGGTTATATTTGCAAAATGCTAAAAATTAACTTTTTTCCTGTTTATCTCTTCTAGAACTAAGGGCCCTCAGATTGCCTATGAACGCAGTTTTCGGTGGAAGCTTGCCCACTTTCGCTATTTGTGTCAGGTAATCATTTTTTTAAAGTCTCTTGAGGATTACAAATCTTAAGAAGCTTGATTGACAGAATGGTGCTTCTTTCTGAAATGTGCTGCTGCTGGAAGGTGCTGGCAATGATAAGGAAGATGTCGTCTATGTAATCCTCTCTGTATTCAGGATATATTAATATGTTCTTCTGTCTGCATCCATCTTACCAGACCTTCCCATACTGACCTGACTGTGCATTTCTTTGTAGTCTAATGCATTACCGAGCCATGTCAAGATAACTGTGTCCAGGCAGACGTTATTTGAAGACTCCTTTCAACAGGTAAATCAGCATTTTATTTTAAACAATGGGAATCAACAAGGAAATCTGTCTCAATTTTTTTTTTTTTTTAGATTCATCGGGAAGCAATAGAACCTCACTCAGGAAATTGCTGCATTTGCACCTTTTTGAGAAAATTTCCCTTAACCAATCTCCTGTCCTGGTGACAGAGCAAGAGAAATAAAGTAATATCAAAACAACAAACCACTTAAGTATATTATAATAAGAGAGCTAAGTATAAAAAAATAAGAGGAGATATTTGCAGCAGGATATATAATAACAGATATGGGTAGAAGCAAAATCTACAGACTAATGTGAACCAGTCTAACATATTGCTAAATTTGGCTGGACAGCCAAGCTACTAATAGGTCGGTTTAGAGAAGAGTGATGTAGAATTAAATAAGTGTAAGAAGTATTGTTTTCTGAGCATAAAATAGTATCAAAAGTGGTTTGTCATTCACGGCCAAGCCAAGTTTGTAGTAAACACAATTTAGGATAGGGTTTTTTTTTAACCCATAGATGGGTCTCAGGGGGTCTGTGGAAGCCAGATAAAAAAAAAATAAATAACATTTACTATACAATCCTCCCTCTTGTCCCAATGAATGGTTTTCCATTGAAAGAAATGATAGAAAATACAACCTGCCACTGCTTACAGCACTGACTAAGCATCATTACCATGTTTACCATTTAACTTTGTATCATCGTTCTCTCCATAATCGCTATCTTGTGCCACTCCATAATAGCAAGTGCTAATTTTCAGTTTGTATAATAGTAGTAATAGATTTGAGCAGAATTAAAATTGTTTTGCACAAGGTAATTTGCACAAGGTGATGGTATTTAAGTTTTTTAATGAGTGGCCATTACTTTTTTCATGAAGAGGAGTGAGTTTTTTCATAAGATTGTTTATTTTATTCAAACTGTGTATGTTATAAATGTATGAAGCAATCAAATTTCAATAAAAATAAAGTACATACACTATATTGCCCAAGGTATTGAGACACCCCTCCAAATCATTGGATTGATGTGCTCCAATCACCGCATGGCCACAGGTGTATAAAAGCAAGCACCTAGACATGCAGACTGCTTCTAGAAACATTTGTGAAAGAATGGGTCACTCTCAGGAGCTCAGTGAATTCAAGTGCAGTACTGTGATAGGTTGCCACCTGTGCAATAAGTCCATCCGTGAAATTTCCTTGCTACTAAATATTCCACCGTCAACTGTTAGTGGTATTATAACAAAGTGGAAGCAACTGGGGACAACAGCAAGTCAATCACCAAGTGGTAGGCCACGTAAAATGACAGAGCGGGGTCAGTGCATTCTTAAACGTACAGTGTGCAGAAGTCACCAACTGTCTGCAGAGTCAATAGCTAAAGACCTCCAAACTTGGTGTGGCCTTCAGATTAACAAAACAACAGTGTGTAGAGAGCTTCATGGAATGGGTTTCCATGGCCAAGCAGCTTCATCCAAGCCTTACATCACCAAGTGCAATGCAAAGCGTTGGATGCAGTGGTGTAAAGCACGCCGCCACTGGACTCTAGAGCAGTAGAGATGTGTTTTATGGAATGATGAATCAAGCTTCCCTGTCTGCCAGTGCGATGGACATTTCTGGGTTTGGCAGTTGCCAGAACGGTACTTGCCTGACTGCATTGTGCCATGTGTAAAGTTTGGTGGAGGGGGAATTATTATAGTGTGGGGTTGTTTTTTCAGGGGTTGAGCTTGGACCCCTTAGTTCCAGTGAAGGGAACTCTTAAGGCGTCAGCACACCAAGATATTTTCAACAATTTCATGCTTCCAAGTTTGTGGGAACCGTTTGGAGATGGCCCCTTACTGTTCTAACATGACTGCGCACCAGTGCACAAAGCAATGTCCATATAGACATGGAGGAGTGAATTTGGGGTAGAGGAACTTGACTGGTCTGCACAGAGTCCTGACCTCAACCCGATAGAACACCTTTGGGATGAATTAGAGTGGAGACTGTGAGCCAGGCCTTCTCGTCCGGCATCAGTGCCTGACCTCACAAATGCACTTCTAGAAGAATGGTCAAACATTCCCATAGACACACTCCTAAACCTTGTGGACAGCCTTCCCAGAAGAGTTGAAGCTGTTATAGCTGCAAAAGGTCGGCCAACTCATTTATTAAACCCTACAGACTAAGGCTGGGATGCCATTAAAGTTCGTGTGTGTGTAAAGGCAGGCACATTATGTGACCTAAAAGATTGCCGCTATGAGTGCTGAGACCCTGGGGTTCCGGTTTTTTTTTTAAGTGCCCTTGATGTCCTTTTCCACTTCCTTCTTCTCTCTCCCCCCCCCCCCCCCCCCCCCTCATCTTCTTTTCTTCTATTTTCCTAGGCTCTTCCATAGAGATGATTATTTCTTATGCACTCCTTTGTTTTTTGCATAGTGTCTGCGCCTGCATATCCACTAGCACCTGTCTCTCTGGTATAGGCGGATGGATTTCATCTCCTGTTATCCACATTGTTTCTCTGTTGTAGTATGATTAATGTACTTTTTTACATACTAAATGTTTTGTCATTTGCTACAACTTTTCAGCTTGTACGACTGCTTTTGACTTGCAAGTCATTGATCTTGCACTTCTATCTGTATATCTGACAGCGGTCACAAGCTGTATACTTTAAAACTTTTGAAATTAATTTATTGAAAGGAAAAAAATTGCAAAAGCCACCATTTAATTTTTCCAGGACCTCTGCTTTCAAACAATATATAATGTTTGGGTGTTCCAAGTAATTTTCTAGAAAAAAAAATGCAGTTTGACATATATGGGAGTAATTTTACAAGTGGCCGAGGCAGCAAATTGTTAAACTCTGGGTAAGGTGTTTGAAAAAAAAAAAAAAAAAAAAAAAAAAAGTCTTCTGGTCTGACAATATGATATTGCTGTTTGACATTAAAAAAAAAAAGTTTACCATACTTTCCATGCTACTTTTTGAATCATTGGAGTTGATTTACTAAAGCTGGAGAGTGTAAAATCTGGTACAGTTCCACATAGAAGCCAATCAACTTGCATTTTTTTTTGTTAAAGCTTAAAGGATAAACTTTTTAAAAAATAGTAATAAATGCATGTTTTGAGCCTGGAAAGCATTGCACTAGTGATCAGCAGATCACTAAACTGACAAACAGCTTACCACTGACAGGTAGACTGAATGAACTACCACAGCGCCATGGAAGTTCATTGAGAACTACAAACCAACATCGTCAAAGAATGTTGGTACTTGTAGTTCATTAATTCACAGAAATCTATGACTGAATGATGTGGCTGTGTGGGAGGAGTCCCGTATGGCTGCTCTGATTTAAAAAAACTGACAGGTAGTACAGTCAACTTCTCCCTGTACTGCTGTCACGGGGGGGGGGAGGTCGGAATTGGGCAGCAGTGGGAACATGTTATATGTTCCACCCTAAAAACGGGTGGAACATGGAACATGTTTCCAAAGGTAAACGTAATCTTTCATTGAACAAGGCGATTTGATTTCAATGCACAGCTGAACCAGATTTTGCAGTTTTAGTAAATCAAACCTGTTCTATCTTTTGTATTGTACCAGTCCACAGGAGGGTAATGCTTAGTCACCTTTCTTCAGATGTTTGGTATTTACAGGTTGCTCTTAAATTGTATATTTAAAAATAATAAATCCTTACACATTTACATTCACATGACTGCTTCTGTGATTGTATAGTATTTCTGGAAGTGTCACATATTTCTGTAAATTTAATTGAGCCTTCCAGTTTTAACATGCAGTGGTGCTTTGGCTGTGGCAGATGGTAGCTTTACTGAAAGGCTCCTTTTTAATTTCCTTGGTGTAAGCTTCTTAAAGTGTATCTAAACCCAAAATACAAATTGTAACATGTTGAAGCTTACCAGTCCTTAGATGTTGTGGCTACATTTGTTTTCTTTTTTTTCAGGCTTTTTCTCCTTTTATTTTCAGCCTGGTAATATTACAAATAGCACACGTAATGTTCCTTCTACACTCATTTTTCCACTATATCTATGGAAGGAGGTCACACAGACTGTAGTAGTTTTACATAAAAAAGGTGATTTATGTTCCTTCTTGTTATCCCTCAGGAAGTGACAAATAGTGCATTTCTGGCAAGATCAACAGGAATTTTCTGTACTTGCTAAAAATGTTCTTAACCTGGGAAAAGAGAACTATTGCAACCTACACATTTAAAGACCAATAAGCTGTAGTATATTACATTTTGGTTTTAGGTTTAGATATGCCTTAAGGGCACAGAAAAGTGGGAGTTTTTTATGCTTAATTTCTGGCCATTGCTGAGCCTCTTATTGCTTCACTCCTCTTAGCATTGCGCAATAAAATGAAGGGCTGTAGAGAAGTGCCCTTCCCTGGACCTAGCGCCACTCACAGGATGCAGACAGTGGTGCCTTGGCTGTGGCAGATGATAGCTTTAATAGAAGGCTTCCTTTAATTACCTTGGTGTAATCTTCCCAATAAAAAAAAAAATTCATATTGACAAATACTTCAATGTGTGATTACAAGACTACTGTAAGAATGTGAACATACAATGGAAAAAGCTTAGTCCACAGTTTTTTTTTTTGTTTTTTTTTCCCCCTCTTCCGTTATATAGATTATGGCATTGAAGCCTTATGATTTAAGAAGACGATTGTATGTGATGTTCAGAGGGGAAGAAGGCTTGGATTATGGAGGCTTGGCCAGGTAATCCTTTTCCTTTGAAGTGTGTCTTTACTTTAAAATCATTTTCACTTTCCTGGGGATTCAGTAAACACTTGTTGGTGGAATCCATTCAAAAAACTGGAGAGGGGCGGATGTCCAATGTACTTGGAGGTCCTCCAGCCTTGACCAAGAAGGACATCGAAACAGACAGAATAAACGTCTCTTATTTGTACACATACTCCTGCTTAAGACCTGTGGGTGACTGCTACTTTAATTTTATCTGCTTTTGCTACTTTGCTGCAGAGCACCCGGACAGATATTCTCTGGACAGTGTACAGTGACGTCCAATAGATTTTATGCTTCAAACACTTTGTATTTTTTGATACAGAATTTATGAACCTAAAATCTCTATGCACAACACTGCAAACTACTGAAAGCTTATTTTGTTGGATTGTCATATTGCTGTGTATTCAGTATACCTAGTTCACCAAAGCAGATAATAAAGTGGTGATATGTTATTGTGATAGAATTAAACTTTATAATGTTATTGGATTGTTATGTACTATGTCATGGCCAAATACACTTAACGTCCACTTCATTAGGTACATCTGTTCAATTGGTTGGTAACACAAATTGCTAGTCAGCCAATCATATGGCAGCAACTCAATGCATTTAGGCATGCACACATGGTGAAGACGGCTTGCTGAAGTTCAAACTGAGCATCTGAATGGGGAAGAAAAAGGATTTAAGTGACTTTCAATGTTGCATGGTTGTTGGTGCCAGACGGGCTGGCCTGAGTATTTCAAAAACTGCTGATTAACCAGGATTTTCACGCACAACCATCTCTAGGGTTTACAGAGAATGGTCCGAAAAAGAGAAAATATCCAGTGAGTGACAATTGTGTGAATGGAAATGCCTTGTTGATGTCAGAGGAGAATGGGCAGACTGGTTGCTGTAACATTCAGATGGTAGGGTCATAATTTGGCGTAAACATCATGAACATGGATCCATCCTGCTTTGTATCAACGGTTTAGGCTGCAGGAGATCACATACTGGTGTGTGGGGATATATTTTTTTTGGCACTAGCAAGGTGTACCTAATCAAGTGGCTGGTGAGTGTGTATGGGGCTTAAAATCCCAGTTGATCTTTCATTTTAAATGCTTTCCAGGTGCTAAAAACAAAAGGTGTGCAAAGTTTGTTTTGTTTCTGCTAATTGCAGGTGTAATGTCCTGCAGGCTCCTTAAAAAAATAAAAATAAAAAAAAATGTGCATTTATTATTTACATAATCCAATTTTCCTTTAAGAAGATCACATTGGCCTGTTAGCCTTTGTTTGCCAACCCCCAGAAGATTGCTTTTGGACATTCAATAAGAATTCACTCTCTTGTATCCTTTGATTTATGATTAAGAAAATGGAAATTTTTACTTGCCTGAAAAAATCCCTACTTGGATCACAGAACACTGGGCCATCCCCTCTGGTTTACCTCTGATATTTCTTACAGAAAAATGGTGATGCTGGGAATAAGAGGCATTATGCTGTGTGTTGGTTGTTGTTGGTTTTTGCCATATTTTACATTTTGTACAATCACTTGGAGGTGAAACATAACCCAGTAGTCTCCATTGTCCTGTGATATATTCCAAGAAAGGGATTTGTCACCTGAACAGAAGGTGAGAGCAAATCTTCTATGGGGTTACCTGTTCTGGTGACCAATCTGATTTCCCCCCAGTTTGAAGAGATCACCTCCAATGTGATGTTTTATCTCAAGTACAATGAAGTGAAAGGAAATCTCTCCAATTTGACATGACCCCCTAACTCTATAATTTTCAGAGTGTCCCAAGTTGGAACACATAATATGGCAGTGGATAGATTAAGGGCAGGTTTGCCTGGAGGGAGAGGCACAAAAAACGCATGGGACCCCCAGCAAAAGCATAATGGGCCGCTCAAGGCATCCAGTGCATGCATGTAATCCTAGTGCACGTTGTTTAGATCATCAGTGCTTCTACAACTGAAATACATTCATTCTTTTCTTTCCTCCTTTCAGAGAATGGTTCTTCCTACTCTCTCATGAAGTGCTCAATCCAATGTACTGTTTGTTTGAATATGCCGGCAAAAGCAATTATTGTCTACAGATTAACCCAGCTTCTACCATTAACCCTGATCACCTGTCATATTTCTGCTTCATCGGACGCTTCATTGCTATGGTGAGTTCTCACTTTCCGGATGTGGTATTGTCAGACTGTGGTGTAGAAAATAAGCTTTAGGGTCCTTTCACATGGTCATTCCAATTTTTTCATCAGTTCAGTCACGTTTTTTCCAAGAAAAAAACGGAGCAGTTCACATCCGTTTTTCATCAGTTTATATCCGTTTTTCCTCCGTTTGGCCATTTACATCCATTTTCATTGTTTACATCTGTTTTTCGTCCGTTCCGGGTTTTTTAACAGAAGAAAAATAGGGTTTTCTTTTGTTAAAAAAACAGATGTTAACGGATGCGGACATTAATGGATGTAAACAGATCATCCGTTTATATCCGCTACTCCGTAGAAATACATGGATGTCCGTTTTTCATCTGTAAACAGACAGATGAAAAACATATATATGGAATCCCCGTGTGAAAGAGCCCTTACACTGTTTTTATGCAGAAAATTGTCTTACAGACCCACAGTTACCCTTTAAAGTGGTGTCAAGTTTTTTTTTTTTTTTTTTTTTTTTGTAATGTACTTTCTTATAAAATGTTAATGAACACTGAACAGCCTGAATCCCAATGCTTTAAATTTCTGTACTTTAACAGTTTTATATAGGGGTAATCGTCTTCTTTAATATGTCTACATATTTGGTTATTCAGCCATGAATAGTAAAGTATAGTTTTCCTCCACCCTCTGCATTTCAGTGATGCTATATAATGATATTCGAGTATGGGATGACTTATAGATACTAGAGCAATGGAAGGTGGGGCTGTTGCATAGTAATCAGTCAGATTTCACTGGTAATTGTTTGTTTTTTAAAGTAAAAGTTAACATGGGGCTTGCTCTGATAACTGTGGATGCAGGGATCTCCCCGCTATTGCTTTCTGACAGCAGGGACCCCACCCCTTCAGAATACACAGATCAGCACTACAGCTGAATGAATATGGTAAAGGATCGTTTGACAGAAACTGGGCGTTAGACTGACTACTGTTGAACAGATAGCGCTACACACACTAAAACAGTTGCAAAATGACAAATATTCCTGTGCATAGGTGTGGGGGAGCAAAGTCTGCTCTCCTAACTGGTGCTATACAATGTCCTTGCTTCTCTAAAATACAACTGTAAAAACACAAATAAGGGAGCTCATTGGCCTAGTGCATTAGTGAGTTTTATTAAATGCTGATAAAAGTTATACTCACAATGTATAAAAGCTTGCATATCAAGTGACGACACAGTGTTGGTATAGACCTGATGGACCTTCCAACACCAAGTTGGTGTCATCCAAGAACCCAGAACATGGCTGACGTGCTTTAAGGAAAACCCTCTTCTTCAGAGTCAAAAGGATTGGATCCCCCATTAGGCCAATCCTCCATTGCTCTTAGCCTGAGCACTTTTTATTGCTCTTACCCATTGACAAAAAGCGAGTATAATTTTTATCCGCATTTAATAAAATTCACTAAGTATAATGCACTAGGCCAGTGCGCTCTCTTTTTTGTGTTTTTACAGTTGTGTTTTTTTTGCGCTACACATACCAAAATGCAGCTGGCGTCTGCAGAACCAGCAATTGTTGGTACATGTATTCCCGTTTTAGTTTGTTAGAAACCCATGGCTCCATATGTGTAAGTAGAGGTGACACTCAGTATTTTCCTTTCCAGGCTTTATTCCACGGTAAATTTATTGATACCGGCTTTTCTCTACCATTCTACAGGCGCATGTTGAGCAAAAAAACTCACCATCAAAGACTTGATGTCTATTGATCCTGAATTCTATAACTCACTAATAGGGCCTGGTAAGTGTAATTTGTGTTGGCACGGATTTAGGCGGCACTGATAGACAGCACTAATTAGGGGTCACGGATAGGCGGCACTGATATGCAGCACTGATAGGCGGCACTGATATGCAGCATGATAGGCACTGATAGGTGACACTGATTATGGGTACTGATAGACGGCAATGAAATCAGTTCTGGCTAATGTGTCAGAATGCTGTAACAACATCTGCTCCACCAAATTCTAACACTTGCAGATTTGGGGGCATGGTGGGTGCTTTAAATAAATTAGATAAGGGTGGTGAAAAATGACAGGTATGCAATAGCTAGGGGACCACCCAGGTCAGCAACATTCCTAATTGTGCTCATTGGAGAATGATCACAGTGAAGAGGTTTGCACTATTTCTGTTATATGTTGAATTGCTGTTTAGAATGATTACGTTTTGGTGGCTCAGTTCATTCTGCTAAGCAGTTGTTGCAAATAGTGAATTTCATACTAGTCAGCCGTGACAACAGGCACTAGGAACTGTATAGGGGAACGATCATAAGGGCACTGATCAATCAGTGCCCTGATGATCGGTGCCGATCCCCGCTCTGACAACTGCCGGTTCTCCTAGGAAGAGAGAACTGCATATGCTGCAATTGTATTCAGCTAACCAGCGATTGACATACTGTAAAGTGCCGGCGTATAACACACTTTTCAACCCGTGAAAATCTTTTGAAAAGTCGGGGATCGTCTTATAAAAGCCTGTATCGGCCTTTCACCACATCTCAGGGCAGCAGTTTTTCGAGGGGCGGCGCCGCCCCCCGTCCTCGCTCCCCTGGGGCACCAGGAGTACAGGGTTGGCAGAGGGGCTGCTGTACCTTACCTGGCTCCGGTCCCGGTCCCACGACGATCCGGTCCAGGAAGCGCGGCTGCTCCTTCTTTCAGTTCGGCCGTCAAAAGATTGGTCCCGCCGCCCGCTCGGGTAAATCCTCCTCCTCTTACCGGTGATTGGGCGCCAGCACTGGAAAGGCACACAATTTTTAGGCGCACCAATCACCGGCGAGTAGGCGGAATGCCGAACTAGGCCAGTGCGCTCTCTTATTTGTGTTTTTACAGTTGTGTTTTTACAGCGCTAACATACCAAAATGCAGCTGGCGTATTCTGCAGAACACTGACACCAACATGGGGCACTATACTCCTCCTCCCCACTGGCACCATATGTGTAAGTAGGGGACCACTATATTTTCCTTTCCACTTTATTCACCAAATTTATGGGGCTTATTCCTCTCCCCATTCTGACAAGCGCAACGTTGGGGCAAAATTCTCACCCCATCACCAACGATGGGGTCATATTCCTCCTCCCCATAACTCCAACGGATCCGGGTGTAATTTGTGTTTTCCCTGCTTGACAAAACGTCATGGGGCACTTGGGTTGCTCCTCCCCATTGACACAACAATGGGGCACTATTCCTCCTCCCCACTGACACCAACGCTGGGGTACATCTCCTCCCCAAATTCTAACACTTGCAACGATTTGGAGGGATATTCCTGCTTTAAATAACACCATAAGGGTGGTGAAAATGACAGGTATGCACTCCCCAGCTAGGGGACCACCCAGATGGGCAACATTCCTAATTGTGCTCCCCACTGACACCATACGATGGGGCACTATTTCTCCTCCCCATGTGACACCAACGATGGGGCACTATTCCTCCTCCCCACTGACACCAACGATGGGGCAAATACTATTCCTCCTCCCCCGTGACACCAACGATGGGGCACTATTCCTCCTCCCACTGACACCAACGATGGGGCACTATTCCTCCTCCCCTCTGACACCAACGATGGGGCAATTCCTCCTCCCCACTGTTGACCAACGATGGGGCACTATTCCTCCTCCCCACTGACACCAACGATGGGGCAAATCTTCCTCCCCACTGACACCAACGATGGGGCACTATTCCTCCTCCCCACTGACACCAACGATGGGGCACTATTCCTCCTCCCCACTGACACCAACAGGGGGCACTATTCCTCAGAGGGGCTGCTGTACCTTCCTGGCCTCCCACGACTGACACCAACGATGGGGCACTATTCCTCCTCCCCACTGACACCAACGATGGTCCCGGCACTATTCCTCCTCCCCACCGGTGATTGGGCACCAGCACTGGAAAGGGGGCACTATTCCTCCTCCCAATGACACCAACGATGGGCAGCCGAACGGCCTCCTCCCCAAAATGAAGCACCAACGATGGGGCACTATTCCTCCTCTCCCCCACTGACACCAACGATGGGGCACTATTCCTCCTCCCACTGACACCAATGATGGGGCACTATTCCTCCTCCACACTGACACCAACGATGGGGCACTATTCCTCCTCCCCACTGACACCAACGATGGGGCACTATTCCTCCTCCCCACTGACACCAACGATGGGGCACTATTCCTCCTCCCCACTGACACCAACGATGGGGCACTATTCCTCCTCCCCACTGACACCAACGATGGGGCACTATTCCTCCTCCCCACTGACACCAACGATGAGGCACTATTCCTCCTCCCCCACTGACACCAACGATGGGGCACTATTCCTCCTCCCCACTGACACCAACGATGGGGCACTATTCCTCCCCCCACTGACACCAACGATGGGGCACTATTCCTCCTCCCCACTGACACCAACGATGGGGCACTATTCCTCCTCCCCACTGACACCAACGATGGGGCACTATTCCTCCTCCCCACTGACACCAACGATGGGGCACTATTCCTCCTCCCCACTGACACCAACGATGGGGCACTATTCCTCCTCCCCACTGACACCAACGATGGGGCACTATTCCTCCTCCCCACTGACACCAACGATGGGGCACTATTCCTCCTCCCCACTGACACCAACGATGGGGCACTATTCCTCCTCCCCACTGACACCAACGATGGGGCACTATTCCTCCCCCCCACTGACACCAACGATGGGGCACTATTCCTCCCCCACTGACACCAACGATGGGGCACTATTCCTCCCCCCACTGACACCAACGATGGGGCACTATTCCTCCCCCACTGACACCAACGATGGGGCACTATTCCTCCCCCACTGACACCAACGATGGGGCACTATTCCTCCCCCCACTGACACCAACGATGGGGCACTATTCCTCCCCCACTGACACCAACGATGGGGCACTATTCCTCCTCCCCACTGACACCAACGATGGGGCACTATTCCTCCTCCCCACTGACACCAACGATGGGGCACTATTCCTCCTCCCCACTGACACCAATGATGGGGCGCGTTGGAAGAGGGGTAGTCTTATACGGCGAGTATAGCTCAAACCCTATATTTTAACAGGAAAAGTAGGGGGTCGTTTTATATGCCCAGTCGTCTTATACGCCGGCAAATACGGTAAGTAGACTGATAGGAATAAGACTTAGTCAGCAAATGATGTAGACCATCTTGCATGAAGTACACATTGTAGTTTATGTTGAATATATTTTTATTTGACTAATTTAGCAATAATCAAAAATGTCATAGTAGAAACAATTCTTTAAAAACATCTAAAAAGATTTCTTAGATATAAAACCACAAGTCCAATTTGGGAGGCCATCATAAAGAGGAAGAAGAAAAAAAAACAGAAGGAAAAATGGAGGGAAGGAAATAAAGAGAAAAAAAGCCAGAGGGTGAGGGTACAGGAGTGGAGAAGCTTTGCTTAATGCTGGATAACACATTCTGTGAAGGGATATACTATGAAAAGAAACCAAAACCTACGCCAAGAGTGGGCCCCCCACAACAGCAGGGTATAGGGGTACAGAGAGTTAAGAGGTTAGGTATCAAGTGGAACAGTATCTGAGGACACTCTGGCCTGCAAAGCATCAGAGGTAGAATAATGTTCCCAAATCGACGTACACACTGTATTTTAAACCCAAAAGTAAACAACATATTGCAGCTTACCAATTCTTAGATGTGGTAACTGCATTAGCTTTCTTGTTTAGGCTTTTTTTCCTTATTTTCACTGGTGATCTGGCCAGTAAGTCTGTTCTTTTTCAGAAAAAAAGCTCTCTTGCAAATGTAGGAAATTAGATGGGTGAGACAAACCATTTAACTACTGATTGGTGCTTACAGTGATTAGCTTTTATTTATGTAAAACCTGTATCCCAAAAAAAAAAAAATCTGTTGCTGCTTATAAAGTGTGAGCTGGAGATTGGCTTCAATTTGTTTGTGCATCTAAACCTGCTAGTACATCGAACACTCCCTCCCTCCAAACTGACAATGCTGCTGTCCAAATGTGCCTCCTCTGTGCCTTTTCATCCAGAATGTGAGGGCACTCTAATTCAGGAGGTGTGTTACTGGCCAGATCACCAGGTGAAAACGCAGGGGAAAAAAGCCCAAAAAAAAGGAATACAGCCACCAGTTGATAAACTGCAATATATTTTATATATATATATATATATATATATATAAAATAATACTGATTGTTAAAGTATATGTACATCCTAACTATGAAATCTCTCTTAATGTGCTCCCCTTTGGCATGTTAATCTTATCCATTGAAAGTGTTTTGTTAGATCTGTTTGATACCTGGAAAAAAAACCTGTTGATCCTGCCAGAAATCCAGTGAGTTAAGTTCTCTGCCTCTGCTGCACTGTTATCAGTAAACATTGTTCCCTGTGGACTGCAGAACACTTCCCCATGTTACGGGGAGTTGTTCTCTAGTCCTAACACATTTTCTGTCCTGATGTGACAATGCTGCTCCTTCATAGATACAAGACAGGAAATGTGTTACTGGCAGGATCACCAGGTGAAGATTAAGGTAAAAAAGTGAACAAAAAATGAAAGCCAAACACCAAAGCTGAAGACTGGTAAGTTGCAATATATTGTGTTTTTTCTTGTGTTTAGATACTCTTTATTATGTCTTTTGAGGAAAAATACTTTTTATTATTTCTTTAGTGTATTTATAAGTACATACTAATTATGTGTTTATAAATATTTATGGATGTTTTGCTTGTGGTGTCTTTTTCCAGAGACAATAACATTGAAGAATGTAACTTGGAGATGTACTTTTCTGTTGACATGGAGATACTTGGAAAAGTCACATCCCATGACCTCAAGCCTGAAGGATCCAACATGCTTGTTACTGAGGAGAACAAGGAAGAATACATTGGGTAAGACCACCATACAGATGAGCTTAATACATACTGAAGGGAAAATAAGTGTGTTTCATTGTGTAACTGACATCTTGTCATACAAATTTGTAGATTCTGCCTTTAATAGTTATCTGTAGGCATGACTGGTAGACTTGCAGGGAGACCGTAGTACTGCACAATGATTATGCTCTACAGTTACTTTAAGTAGTAAGCATAGCCTGCATATAACTACAAATCATATGTATAAAGTAAATTAAAATGTAAAAAAACCCCTTGGGCACACCTGTGTATGATTTGGATGAAAAAAAAAAAAATCAATAAAAAAATAAAAAATTGTGTGGCTGCCGGGGTCTATAAGTGTACCACCCACTTAAATATACTACAATAACACAACCTACGTTGACCCAGCACCACTCTTTTGTTTCACTGTGTGTATGCAAAATAAATTATAAACATTTAGTAATACATGAACACACACATAAGAAAAGTCGATGTGTAGTTCCCTTGTAAAAAAATATAAAAGAAAGTACACATGTGCTCCACCAAAAATTACTTGACCCCTCAATTCCTTGTAATGTACACACCATGGGGTTGATTTACAAAAAGTAAATATACTGTGAATTGCAAGTGCACTTGCTTTATATCCGAGGTGAAGCACTAAAATATACCTCCTGTACTTCCACCAAGTCTGTACAAATGTCCTGCGTCACCGGCTCTGCTCCTTATGCGTTACACCACAAGCGTAAAGAAGCCACACTCGTGTTGTAACGTGTAAGGGGCAGGGCTAGTAATGCAGGACGTTTGTACAGACTTGGTGTAAGCAAGTACTGGAGGTATCTGTATTTGTAACCATGAGGTCTGTAACCTTAAGGGGACAGTAGTCTACTATCCATTCACAAGCTGCAGCCTCTAATGATGATGTCCCATATGGTGGTCTGAATTATTACACATGCGGTTTGTCTGTTGTGCACCAGCTAGCAGTGCACAATTAAATGGGAGTGAGATTGTATAAATGAAATTTTATTAATTATGGCGTTTTGTATGGAAAGCACTTGATCGGTGGAAATCATACATGGCGTTACAGATCCAGAGGAGAGTGTTTTTTTTTTTTTTTTTTTAGAAACATGGACTTTCTTATATATTCATTGCTTTTACATTGGAATTACACGTGGACTTTTCTTATGTATATATTACTGAGTATTTATAATTTATTTTGCATATACACAGTGAAACACAGTGCGGCGCTGGGTCAGTTTAGGTTGTGATGTATGTATAAACTAGTCTTAAAAACATGGACATATTGATTACAGGTTCTTACGTTAAACTGATCACTTGGACATGTAACTGAAAAAAAGTTTATTTCCCCTACTATCCGTTTATCACATATAATGCCACATTTCTACCCCAGTGAATTGACAACTATTGACACCTTTAGTTATGCAGAATAAAGGACTATCACTTGTGGATTATGTAACTATAAGAGTGTAGTTCCATGATTTTCGCCCCTTCCATTCTGTCGGAGCAAGCTGTCAGAATACCTATACACTGGTTGTTCAACTGACAATTTTCCACCCGGCTCCTTAGATTTTTCCGCTGAAGGATTTCATGCAGGGTGGTGCCAACAGGGCCACCGACTAATTGAATTTCAGTGCTTCTTTGGGAATTTGTGTAGAGCCAGCTTTATACTCCCTTTTCTGGAGATCACATGGTCATACTGATCACACATTTGCTCACTATATATAGTGAAAGGTAAATACAGGCTTCTAAATTGTAGGGCAAAATATTTCTTGAAGCTTCAAACTAGTAGCAAGTTACTTTTATCAAAGTGTATATATTGAATGTATAGCAGTTTATTTCTTATGGATCTTGTGGTGAGCAGCATGCTAACCAGTGATTGGATTTTACACTGCAGCTCTGCATAGCAGATAGATAGGGGAAGGTTCAGGTTATCTCTGCAGACAGGCTTACACTGGTCCTGTAATGGGAGCCTGCCCTAGTACCTCACTAACACAGCACTTTAACAGGGACAGGAGTTGGTGGCAGAATTCACTGCAAAACCCAAAGTTTTTAGTTTATAATCCTTGATGGTGGATGCAGTCTGCACTCCTATGCCTAGTACACACAATGAGACTATTGGACGAATGATCGTCCGTTTTTTGTTTGTTTTTTTATTTTGCACGCTCGTCTCGTATCAAAAAGGAATAGGTTACTAAAGTTATGAAAATTCTTGTAAGAATATAACTTCCTGCAATGATATAATGTATTCTTTTGTTTCTAAGCATGCGCAGCCTTGGTCACTCGGTCAGTTTTTTTACAGACAAATACTGTACTGATTAAATGAAAATCGTTCTGTTGTCGAATGAGAAAACATTTGTGCATGTCCCTTCAGATTATTGTACTTGAACTGTCGTGATCGGCTCTGGAAAGTTGTGTACTAACAATCAGATTATCAGACGATCGCTCAGAAAGCGGTATTTTTTTTTCGTCTGTTATTCTCGTGTGTACTAGGCTTTACTGGTTACTGCGTTACTGATGGGTGGTAAACGGTTATCTCAGATTTCTGCTGAATCTGTAGTTGCTTTTCAGACCTGCCCACTATTACACTAGACAAATCTTTCTCTTTACATTCAAGCTGTTAGCTGTACAAAATGTCCCTTATTCTTGTAGAAGAACTCGGAGTGTTCCTCATATTGTTATTGTTCGAAGATGCAATAGCTGTGCTAATAGAATTAATGTCACAGTTTGCAGCTTATTTGTACATCTCTAACTGCCATGTTTGTGTGTATTTGTTCAAGCTGCTCTGATACCCAGTTTCAACCAAAAAGCATACTGGTAGGTTAACTGGTTTGCGATCAGATTCTGATGTGCATGTGCAACTGTGGTTAGGAAGTTAGATTTTAAGCTCCTTTGGGGGAAAAACTGAAATCCGTGGTCTCTATACTGAATTTTGTATTTGGTGCATTGACATAGTAAGTGACCCTGTTAGCGGTAATGTCAAGCACCAGGGCCACTGTAAAGGAACATGGTGCTTACTTACCTTTATTGTGGTCAGCAAGTGAAATCTTAAACTGCTCCATCCAGCCAACGCTATCCACACTTCCAAGTGGTCAAATACCTGGTCTCTGACTTGGTGCTGCGGTGTCCCCCCAATGCCTGCTATGTTACTACAGGGTCAGGTGATGGAACCACATTGCCCAGCGAGGGACATGCTAACTGAGACATCTAGAAGTTTTGGATAGCGGCAGTGCCTGAAGCTGTACAAGAGATGGCAATGATTTCATTTGCTGGAAAGGTAAGTATGCATCATGTCTTTTTACAGGGCTCTGCTGGTTAAAGTTGATATTGCTAACTGGAATATAAACATTTGACATTAAGCTATTATTTTAGTGGTGTAGCAGCCATGATGTGTTCCTTGCCTGTGGCCATAGAATAATCCATTTTAATGAGTGGATGGCTGAACATCCGCATACAATTAAAACTGTGGCCTCATGCAAGCTATGGATCTGTAAATGCACCCAGTTTAGAAGTGTTGACAAATGATGCAAGTGAGCTCATGGACACCAGACTGTGACAGTTAAACATCTGTAGCAAACAGTTGGGCACATTTTTATATTGGTACAGTGCGAACTTTGCTATACAAGTTGTGATTTGACAGTCAATCAATCTGTTTCTGCTCCTGTTTTATTCTCCCTTGCTGTGGTAAATTGAGAAATCTCTCCCAATGTACTTACTGATCCTGCTTCATCCTTCTCATAGGCTCATGGCCGAATGGAGATTTTCGCGAGGGGTAGAAGAACAAACCAAAGCATTTCTGGATGGCTTTAATGCAGTTGTCCCTCTGCAGTGGCTACAGTATTTTGATGAAAAAGAGTTAGAGGTTCGACTTGTACAAATGTACATATTTAAATATATACTTATGTTACTGGGGCCTGGATTGTATAATGTCAACGCACTTTCATTTTTTTTTTCTAATTTCGATTTGCAACGTCAATCCACATTATTAGTTTGGGATCCTCAGTAATTTCAGGGCCCCTGAACCAGTGATGGGATTTGCTCTTAAATCTGAAACTTTTGCCCAGTGCTCATTAAAACAGACATGTCTTAAGATGGATTTTCAAAAATATGACCGGAACACAGAGTGTGCTAACTCAACAATATGTGTTGGTGTGCATTTTTAATCCCTTCCCACCATTACCTCCAAACCCTTTAACAGCTTCTAAATGCCAGAATACAGAAGTGGGCATTTGGGTCATGTTCCTGCTGTGATTGGCTGTCACAGTGGTCAGATGATCGGAAAGCTACCAATCGCAAGTACCAGGAACTTTCCAGTCCCTTGCGGTAACTGTGTTTACATGTTGCCTCTCAACATGTAAAGGCCACATATATGGGTACCTCTGGTGGGAAGAGGTTAAGTAGTTTTATCTTGTTTGTACAGTACAGGGCACAGGAGTTTTTAGGCCGCAACCCTCAGCTCTCTTGGAAGCTCCACTCCTCCCCTCCCCCCCGATGTACTCATGTAACCTTGACCATTCTGTGAGGCTCTAGTTTTTTGGTAGTGTCTTCTGTTGCAGAAAAAATGTATTTCTATTCTTTAAATTAAAAGTTGATCTTGTACCATTAACAAAAAGAGGACGTCTATTAACATTTGCTCCACGTTAGGCAAAAATGTCCTGGCCTTTTTTTTCACTCTTTTTTTTTTTTTTTGGTACAAAAAGCAGCTCTATTGCTGTTCTTTCTCTGCTGTTTTTTCTATGTTACGCATTTTTTTTCCCTTAAACCTACTTGCAGCTTACATTTACAAAGGGGTACTTACACTATATTGCCAAAAAAAAGTATTGGAACACCCCTCCAAATCATTGGATTCAGGTGTATAAAAGCAAGCACTCAGGCATGCAGACTTTTTCTATAAACATTTGTGAAAGAATGAGTCTCTCTCAGGAGCTCAGTGAATTGCATGGTGCTGTGATAGGTTGCCACTTGTGCAATAAGTCCATCTGGGAAATTTCCTTGCTACTAAATATTCCACGGTCAACTGGCAATGAAAGCTGAAAATTGGCCTGGTCAGGAAGGGGGTAAAAGTGTCCGGACTGGAGGTGGTTAAAAACCTTTTCTTGACCGTTGTTTGATCCATGCTTTAGCTACAAGGTGCTCTTGCTGATGTCTATCTGTTCGGTTTCCCCTTTTTTTTCTGTGGGCCTTTTGCTGCAATTTTGGCTGTTATGTTGCCCAGCTTTCAATTTATTGCTTGTAGATATCCCATGGTTTAAAAATCAATATATGTCCTGTACTGTATGATTAAGATAATAGTAATTTTGTCATACCAGTAAATTCCATATCTCAGAGTACAGTACAGGACACAAGTGCCTTTCCCCTTTCTCTGTGATCTCCTTATTGCTTGCTAAATAAAACTGGAGCCTCACACAGAGTAGGCAGGGGTATGTGGGGTGGGCGTTACACTGGGATGTGGTTTTCAGCAAAGCCTTTGACCGTGTTCAGTCACCTGCAGGAGAAAAGTATGCCTGTTTTTTTTTTTTTTGTTGTTTTTTTTTTTTTTTTTTTTTACTATAAGCCAGGGTATGCAGGACTGCCTGACAAATAATATTTAAAGGCACATAATAACATTTTTATTGGTTTGTGTTCAAAGAAGCTAGTGTATTTTTGGGGTCATAGATGAACCACTGGCTTTGGGACTTGAAGCAGAAACGCTGTAGTCTCTCCATAAAGGGAGTTTCATCAAAACTGAAAAAATAAACTACTGCAGGTATAAAGTGCTGAAAACTGGAGGGGCATACACATACCTGCAACAGCCTCCCAAACTAGTCCAGGCAGATCCTAGACTATTGTGACAGGCAAAGCTTTGATGCTTACTGATGGTACCAAAGCTTGTCCCACCCCTTACTGCTTCCCTGCACATTCCTGTGGGCAAAGCGAGACCACCCGTCATAGTTTTGTTTGTCAGAAGTTTGGGATACAGCAGTGATGCAGAGAGTTTTATAAGGTGCTTCAGGTTTCACTAGGTACCTACAACAGGCTTCTTTTTGTGGCATTTATGCAGATTTCTTTAAGGAGGTGATGTATATGATATCATGGTGCTTGAGCTGTTTGACCATATATTTTTGCGGCAAACCTGATTTTTGGTAGGGGAGGTGCTGATCAGCACACAGGAGGATGGACAGAAATGTTAATTATACAGGATCGGGATAGCTGACAAAACCAGCAGTCTTGAATTAACCTCCAATGAAGTGAGATTGCAGTTCCAGGTGTTCTGAAAGTTGGGGAGCCCCAGGAAGGAGTGATACCCAGTTGTCCACGGTCCTACACATGGATGTTGGAATTATGTAGGATGCTGTCATATTTTTTGCAAATCCTTGATAAAGTACTGTTCTTCAGTGCATTGATGCTTTTTAATCTAACAGCTAATATAACTATCTGTATCTTTACATTCTGTATGTGAGGGATTTTACAGACTTCAACATGAGCCAAGTAACTAAAATAAACACTTTTATACAGTTTCAAAAAACCTTTTGTGCTCTAAGTTCAGGATGACCATGTGAATGCATTGTACATGGGGAATTAAACCACTGCTTGTATTAGACAAGAAATTTTACTTTGATGCCCTGTTTGAGTTTTCTGTAATATATGTGTTGCTCTCAGTGGTTCGTGGTACCGGCATCTGCCACTAGTGAAATGGCAGAACTAGAACGTCTTCATAACATTGTGTTCAGTAAAACTGTTCCTGGCCCCATTACTAGAACATGAAGTTGCCATTGGTGTCTGGTCTTTTACTGTAGTAGACCCTCATCTTCCAGAAAGTGGTAATTAGCATGAGGTGTGTATGCGGAGGTCCTGCCCTTGCCTATTCTTTTTACTAGATGTCATTGTAGGATCGCTTCTGCACCCACAACTTCATACCTGTGAATAGAATAGGGATTTTGGTACTCTGACCAATCACCACAGGTAAGAAATGCAATTTAAAGTGTATACAAAGACATAAAGAAAAAATACAATACATGAACATTTACATATGTATTATTTCTTTAAAGACTGTGTAAGTACAGAAAAATTGTGTTTGCCAGAAATGCACTTGGGTCCTGACGTTTTGTATATTGACAACACTGTCTGCTTCATAGGTGATGCTCTGTGGGATGCAGGAAGTGGACCTGTCAGACTGGCAACGGAACACAGTTTACCGCCATTACACAAGAAACAGCAAGCAGATCATTTGGTTCTGGCAGGTAATTGACACTCTCCTTTTGAAATGTTAGCTGAAATGTTATGATAGAATTTTATCAATAGATCCATATGGATCTGTAGTAATCATTTATTTATTACAAGTATTTATATAGTTACATAGTTGGTCTGGGTGAAAAAAGTTCAGCCATAAAAAAAAAAAAAAAAAAGTTATAATCCTACATTCACAGTTGATTCAGAGGAAGACAAAAAACCCAGCAAAGCATGATCCAATTTGCTCCTGCAGGGGAAATCGGATATTCCCTGGATCAACTTTACCTATAAATGTTAGTATCCAGTTATATTCTGTGTATCCAAGAAAGAATCCAGGCCTTTTTTTTAAAGCAATCCACTGAGCTGGCCAGAACCAACTCTTGAGGGAGTCTATTCCACATTTTCACAGCTCTTACTGTGAAGAAACCTTTACGTCTGGAGGAAAAGAAATTTAATCTCCAAATACGTGAAGAGTGCCCCCTTGTCCTCTGTGATGACCTCAGGGTGAATAGCTCTACACAAAGTTCACAATATGGACCTCTGATGTATTTATACATGTTGATCATATCCCCCCTTAATCTCCTCTTCTCAAGAGAGAATAAATTCAGTTCCTCTAATCTTTCCTCATAGCTGAGCTCCTCCATGCCTCTTATCAGTTTGGTTGCCCTTCTCTGTACTTTCCAGTTCCTCAATGTTCTTTTTGTGAATTGGTGCCCATTAGTAAGACCTCATCTGGAATATGCAGTTCAGTTTTGATTTGTACAGGGGTAAAATGATATCTCTCTCTGGAGTCTTTACCTCTTTTAATACAAGGGAGGATTTTACTCGCTTTAGAAACCGCAGCTTGGCATTGCATGCCATTATTAAGCTTGTGATCTATCAGAACTCCCAGATCCTTCTCCACCATTGATTTGCCCAGTTGTACTTCCATCCCTTCCCCCTAGTATGTATGATGTATGCATATTCTTAGCCCCCCAAGTGCATAACCTCACATTTATCAACATTAATCGCTCTCCCGCTGCCCTCTAGCAGATGCACTGCTACAGGGCAGCAGGGATGCGCAAAATCGTGTGTGTGTGTGTGTGTGTGTGTGTGTGTGTGTGTGTGTGTGTGTGTGTGTGTGTGTATATGTTGTATATATATGTATGTATGTATGTGTGTGATTTTGCATTTCCGGGTAGGGGGGCGCGTGCTCGCCCTACCCGCGCCACTATTCGTGGGCTCGGCTGTCAATCACCAGGTCCTGGCCAGTGATAACTCGCCAGCACTCAGTGATCGCCGAGCATTACCGACGGAGGGAGAGAACTGTATATAAATACAGTTCTCTCCCCTGTCAGCTCCTGCACACTCTTTTGTATGGCTCTGCATAGCAGAGCCATACAAAGTAGTGTGGTTACAGTTGAAAGCACTAATACAGCACACAATAGAACAGCACACAGTTAACCCTTTGATCGCCCCACCTGTTAACCCCTTCCTGTCCAGTGCCATTAGTATAGTGTAAGTGCTTTTTATTAGCACTGGTCACTGTATTAGTGTAACTGGGGATGTCCGTGGCAGCAAGTCAGTTCCTCTCAGTGTCAGAATGCCTGCAGCAATCCTGCTATAAGTTGCTGATCGCCACCATTACTAGTAAAAATTTAAAAAAAATTTAAAATCCCAGTATATATACCGCCATTTGTAAATGCTATAACTTTCACGTAAACCAATTAATTTACACGTATTGGGATTTTTTATTTTAGCAAAGACGTAGCAGAATAAATTTTGGCCTAAATTTATGACGAAATTTTACTTTTTTTAAAAAATTTTTTTTTACTGGACATATTTAATAGTAAAAAAGCAAAAATATTTTTTTCTCTAAAAATTGTCTTTCTTTTTCTTTTTTTTTTTTAATTAGCAAAAAATTAAAAATGCACAGGTGATCAAATACCACCAAAAGAAAGCTCTATTAATGGGGAAAAAAAGAACGTAAATTTAATTTGGTGTAGCGTTGCATGACCGCGCAATTGTCAAAGTAACGCAGCGCCATAACGCAAACAATGGCCTGGTCAGGACGGGGGGGGGGGGGGGGGGGGGGGGGAATCCTCTGGAGGGCAAGTGGTTAAACCTCATTTGCCACATACTTGCCCAATTACAGTGCATTGAGGTCGGCTTGCAAATTGGAGACATCCTGTAAGGACGTTATTCCACTGCACAGCTTGATGTCATCTGCAAAGACTGAAATGGGATTTTTAATCCCAGACCCTATATCATTTATAAATATATTAAAAACTAAGGGTCCCAACACTGAACCTTGGGGTACACCACTGACAACCCTAGACCATTCATAGTATGAATCATTAACCACTACTCTCTGAATACGATCTTTCAGCCAGTTTTCTATCCATTTACATACAGATTTTTCCAAGCCTGTAAACTTTGACACAGTTCCCCACATGTGTAAGCTAAACACTTTTTTGCAAAATCCAAGTATACCACATCCACCGCCACCCCTCTATCTATATGATGCCAACAATTTACGCATTGCTTTCCTGGATGGGATGTGAACAGGTTTGCCCTAGTGCTGCAGCGAAGAAGTACTAACCACTAAGTCACTGTGTAATTAAAGGTTCACCCTGATCAGACTTGAAAATGTAGAATGCAGGCACTTATGTTGGGTGTATGGCTACACAGGGCTTTTGTTTTGCTTCCTGACAATGCAGGAGCCTCTCTTTCTGAGACTGTGATTCTATGGGCTGGGTAACCTTTGTGTTCATATTCCCTCCTCTGCAGAAGAAAAATAATGCTCTCAGAAATGCAGATTGCAGAAAATGATGGTCTTTGTTGTCTGTACTGCAGCCTCTTGCCAAATAGGGGGGTATTTACTAAAACTGGAGTGTAAAATCTGGTGCAACTGTATATAGAAACAAATCCGCTTCCAGCTTTCATTGTCAAAGCTTAACTGAACAAGCTGAAGTTAGAAGCTGATTGGAGCACTCAGAATGTAGTGCAGCTGTACATGCTAGCCAGTTTTAGTAAATCTCACCCATAAGAGTGCTATTGCAACTTATAGTATCTTCTACTTTTTGGATACCATTTTTCAGTTACTCAGGAAAGTGGGACCATTGTATTGTGTTGTCTGCAACTCTCAGGACACTGACATTCATAAGTGCAATGGTCTGTGTAAGGGCAGTTGTAGAATCAGCTGTGCTAGGAAGCATTGGTTATTTGTAGCCCCACCATTAATACCTATCAAGGTATTTGTATCCATACCTCCATTAACAGCCTCTCCACCTCACTATTGCTGATATCAGAACCAGGCCCTCATCTCTCCCAGTGGAAGTGAAGGCTGCACATTACTGAACTGTGTCCACCTTTACCCCTCCTGGAGAACCACCCATACTCCCAGCTGTTAGTAATGCATGTACACAGACCAGCTGTCATCAATTCCATCTGTAATGTACAACTCGCTATCCTTTATTCTGTTGCAGTTTGTGAAGGAGATGGACAATGAAGTCCGGCTGCGTTTGCTGCAGTTTGTCACTGGAACCTGCAGATTACCACTTGGCGGATTTGCAGAACTAATGGGTAATTGTCTATTGCTACAGCACTGCCAAAAGCATTGCAAGTGCAGAAAACGCATAATCATTGCAAACTTTTATTGTTATTGCAGGAAGTAATGGCCCTCAGAAGTTCTGCATTGAGAAAGTCGGTAAAGAAACCTGGCTTCCTAGAAGTCATACATGGTAGGTGTAAAATGTATCATGTCAACTGACATGTACATGATGGTTCTCTTTCACTCCACTCCTCCATCTCCCCTTCCCCTTCATACACACACTCTTTCTGTTCTCATTTCTTCTTGCCTTGCTAACTATCCCATCACTTCTTATGACTGAATGTAGTAGGAGCCTTTGCCTATAGGCAAAAAACACTGCACTTTGCAAGTGCACTTGAACTCTGCAAAGAGGGAAGTAAAATTATGGTTGGCAGGGTTCTTCTATAAAATCAACTGTGTTTCAAAATGTTTCCCAATTGTATCGCCAACCTTCTCTTTTATCGTGAAACTCTTATAAATGTATTTGCTCCAGAGCTTAATTAATGAGGTAAAGCTTCACTTGCAAAAGAATACCCAATCACGTGCAAGGAAAAAAAAAAAGCAGCATTTTTGCTTGCACGATTGTAAACAAGGGGAAGCTCTTCTGACTTCCATCATCCAAAGTTCTGGAGCAAATGCCCTTGCAAAATGTAACTGCACTCACAAAGTGCACAGTCTATTTGTCCTTAAGTAAATCAACTCCTTTGTGGTACTGCATAGTTTAGGGAAACCCCTTTAGAAAGATGCACAGTATAGGGCAAGGGTTCCTGATTGCTGCTTTCATGACTACATCTAAAAGTAATGGAACCCCAGAAGGGTTTTCCAAGCAGAGTTGCACTAGAAGCAGCCTGGCTGACAGTAGATCAGTGGGAGCTTGCTTTCATCCCAGCAGCAGGCACACCGAGTACTGCAATGCAGCTGAATAATCCTCACCTCATGACACACCTTTCTTCCACAGCTTCAATCGTCTGGATTTACCACCATACAAAAGCTACGAACAGTTGAAAGAGAAGCTGCTTTTTGCCATTGAAGAAACAGAGGGATTTGGCCAAGAATGACAACGCTGCCATATGCGGCAGAGAAAAGAGCTATTATGGACATCTGTTTAATGCCCAGCCAAGTAAAATTGCACACTCAAATTGTATATATGCTGTTTAGTCTGTACAGTGATCTTTCTGAAACTAATGCGTAGATATTTCTGTTCTTCCACATAGATATGCAAAACACTTTAGCCTTTTCTATTTTTATTTATTTTCCCTTCAAATGACTGAATAGAAAAAAAATAACTTTAATTTTAAATGCTGACTGAAGACTTTATTTTAAAATTTATATATCTATGTGTATGTATGGAGAACTCTAGTTTTATAGAGTTTCATGTATACAGAACATCACAGAGCCATTTAAAGAGGCCTGGACATGCTTTATATAGTAAAATCCTGTTCACAAATGGTGGAAGTTCCATATAACATCTTTGACCTCAAATGTTTGTTGCATGGCTGCCAACTGAGCTGTTGAAGGCTAATGCCAAAAACTATAAGATGTACAAGAAAAAAAAAAAAAAAAAAAACTGCTGCTGGCTTTTTAAGATGGCAGAATCTGCACAGTTCTGCCCGTTTCATTTATTTCAGTGTGGTAGCCAATAAATCTTTTTATTTTTTTTTTCTGAATGGTGAAATTGTAGCCAAGGCAGAGACTGGAGCCTCATCATGCATAGTTAGTTTTGTTATGATTCTTAACCTTTAATACAGGGGTATCATTGGCACGTTGTTCAGCAGCGTCCTGTGTGATTGGCACCTGAAGCTGAAAGTATTAGAGAGAGAACAATCAGTGTGTGCTGCCACAGGCAGGCTTTTAGTATCAAGACTGAAAAATGTCTTGTGTGAAGATTCGAAGTACATTGCATAATTTTCAAAACGAGATGAATAAATTTTTAACCTAACATGTTTTTGTGTATGTGTGTTTTTAACAAAGCTGTCAGTAATGTGGTTAAATATTTCTAACATTCTAGTATGCGTGATACAAGGCGGTACTATTGAGCTGATTTGCTTAACTAGTTTGATTTTCACATATTTGGATAATTTAAAATATTCACACAATTAAAATTGTGAGAATATTTCCTTCAAGTCCTGTTCACTTTTATATGAATATCCAGTTTAAATTCATTCATGTGAAAAGCAAATCCCGTTTACTTATTTCATCTGCACATGACTGGGTATTCAATTTATTGTGCATTTATAGTGTGATAGAACATCGCTGCTAACAAGAAGATTAAATAAATAGAGTGTTATGCACCTTTATGACTTGAGCTTTTAGAAATATGTAAGATAGATAATCAAACTTAATAGCTGAGCAAAAAAAAAAAAAAAAAAAAATCAGGCTTGTGAATTGAGCCTTTGACAACCTAGCCCACTTACCAATATAAGTTTTCTTTCTTGTCCTCTGAGGTACACAGGAAGTATTTAACTTTTAAATACTTCCATAGGCTGCTGCTCCTGCTTGCAAAGAGCCACATGGAACTTTGATCCGGTCCTGCTACCCATTTGGTCCTGGTTTCATGACCACCTAATGCCTTGCCTCTTACCCTGGACCAATGCAGTTGTGTTAAAAATATCAGTGTTTTAAAAAGCTCAAAATTGATATAATAGCTTTTATTTTCATACACGCAAATACATTGGGAACATTGTACAGTCTAATCCAAATCAAAACATTAAGAAAAATGTTTCACGTTTGATATTACTTTACGGAAAATGAAGAAAAAGGAATATTAGGCTGTTAAAAAAAAAAAAAAATACCAGGGTCTGTAAACTCAAACACTAAACTAATATTTAGTTGTATAAAGTAGCGCAAGTTATTATTTGATCCCCTGCAGATTTTGTACGTTTGACCACTTACAAATGGTCTATCATCATTATGGGCAAGACCAAAGAGCTGTGATAAAACATCAGGGACAAGGTTGTAGACTTGCACAAGGCTGGAATGGGCTACAAGACCATCAGGAAGAAGCTTGGTGAGAAGGGAGACAACTGTTGAAGCGATTATTTGCAAATGGAAGAAATACAGAATAAGCATTAATTGCTCTCGGTCTGGAGCTCCATGCAAGATTTTGCCTCATGGGTAAGGATAATCATGAGAAAAGTAAGGAATCAGCCCAGAACTACACGGGGAGGAGCTTGTGAATGGTGACTGTGGACCTAACCGCCTTGAGATCAAACACAATTGGTAACACAATACACCACCATGGATTGAAATCCTGAGGCACCTGCAAGGTTCCCCTCCTCAAAAAGGCACACATACAGGCCTGCCCAAAGTTTGCCAATGAACAACATTTTCTCCCAACCCTTCTGTAAATCATTTAGATGTGGTCAGATAATGCCAAGGAGTTCAATTTTGGTCTCAACTTGACTTGCCATGTTTGGAGAAGGAAAAATGCTGACTGACCCCAAGAACACCATCCCTACAGTCAAGCATGGAGGTGGAAACACTATGCTTTAGGGCTGTTTCCCTGCTAAAGGTACAGGCCGACTTTGCCGCACAGGGGGGCCTATGGACGAGGCCATGTATTGTAAAATCTTGGAAGAGAACCTTCTTCCCTCAGCCAGAACACACAAGATGGGTCTTCCAGCATGACAATGACCCAAAACATACCACCAAGGCAACAAAGCAGTGGCTCAGGAAAACACATATTAAGGTCATGGCGGGTCTAGCCAATCTCCAGACCTTAATCCTATAGAAAAGGTTTCTTGGCTGTCGCTTAGCAACTCGAAGCTCCCTCCATACATTAAGGATTTAGAGAAGATCTTTACAGAAGAGTGGACCAAGATCCCTCCTGAGATGTTAAGCACAGAGGGAAGACGTTTCTTGTAGTTGGTTACCAGGTTTGCACAGAAGGGTTTCTCCACCAAGTATGAAATCATGTTTTACTTGGGGATCAAATACTTATTTTAGTCACTGAACTGGAACTAAATTTATAACATTTGTATCGTGGTTTTTTTCTGGATTTTTGGTTGATATTCTGTTTTATTATTTAAAATACACCTATGCTAAAACATTATAGACCCTTCATTTCTTTGTAAGTGGGCACACTTACAAAATCTGCAGTTGATCAAATCATTTTCCCCACTGTAAGCACTGTTTCTGAGAACTGCTTCACATCTATGCTGCATGGAGTTGACCAACTTCTTGCACCTGTGAAACTAGTATAATTGCCCTGGACTGGAATACCTGTTTCACAGGTGCCAGAAGTTGGTCAGCTCCATGTGAAATGTAGTATAATTGTCCTGGACTGGAATACCTCATTTCACATGTAGCTGACCAACTTCTGGCACCTGTGAAACAGGTATTCCAGTCCAGGACGATTGTACTACATTCCACAACTCTTCTGCATTTCTTTGGTTTACCTCAGAAACAGCCCTATAAGTTTTATATTGGAGTAAGGTTCAGGGGATTGGGCTGGCCACTCCATAATGTTATTCTTGTTGGTCTGGAACCATAAGGCAACATGACCTCTTCAAGTATTTTGATGTATTCAAACTGGTGTTGGGCCTATTTATCGTATACCGGGGATCATGGATCATAGTATGAGAAGCATCCCCATATTATGATGCTTGCGCCACCATGCTTCAGTCTTCATAGTGTGCGGTGTCAGACGACCACCAAACACTGAATTAAAGCCAAACTGTTTGGGTCTAGGGGCCCGCAGATAATCTTGCTTTCATCAGTCTGCAAAAACTTGCATCATTTCTCTTAGGCTTGTCAATGTGTTGTTTGTCAAATTGTTACCTCTTCAGCGTATGTTATTTTTTCAACAATGGAGCTTTGTGGGGGCTTCTTGCCGAAAGTAACAATTAGCTTGGTGTCACCTAGGCATCTTCTCTCAACTTTAGACCACCTTTGATCACCCTGGAGCTGATAATTGGCTGAGTCTTTACCATTCAAATGGATTGAAGAATAGCTAAAATGGCAGTTTTCCGGTTTCTTCCATGTCGTTCTGGTTTTGGTTGCCATTTTAAAGCAGTTGAGATCATTGTAGCTGAGCACTCTATCAGTTTCTGCATTTCTTTATATTTTTTTTTCCCCCCCTCTCCAATCAGCTTTTTAATCAAAGTACTCTGTTTTTATGAACAATGTCTCGAATTACCCATTTTCAGAGAAATGCACTATACTCAGCATGTACATTTTGCTGCCTTCATCCTTCAATGAGGGCCACCTGTTTTTTTTTTTTTCCAGACGGAATGACCTCACTATTTGAACACGCCCCTTTTAATTAACGATTCAGGTACACAGAAAACCAACAGTCATGACATGCTTGCTGCTGATTCTATTACTCTACTACACATACTAGTAAATTATTTGCCAAACAGATATATCATTTATACCAAAAACAGTGATTGATCTGCCATATTGAACACAACTGTACATTGCCTTAGCACCACTTTAGAATCAGACATGGTGTACCAGACATGTGAAGGACAGTCCTGCTCTACTTTCTGCCCCAGCTTACATTCTACTAATGGTGCTGAGGGCTGCTTGCAGCGTGCCTTCTGACGGTGCTAGTGTCTTTTGCCTCTAAAATCAGAGGATAACTTGATTCCAGGCTGTTTCCTCCTTTGCTCCGTCTGCTGTGAGAGGAGCTGGCCCAGACACACCTGAGGTTTTTTACAATCACCAATTTACTCTGATTGCTCAGACAAGCACTCTCCTGCAGATTAACAGCTTCTGAGACATGGGTTGCAGATACGGTGTTGATCCTGTCCTTGTAAATGGAAGTATTGAAGCAGTTGTGGTTGACTTGTTTTTAAAGGTGTAATATGCATGGCTTTTTTTTTTTTTTTTTTTTATCATTCCCACTGATCAGCAACTGAGCTGACAATTCACTGGATGCATTTTTGTGCCAGGTCCTTAACACTCTACTTATTCAGCATGACCAGTCTTACAGCTCTGGGCTATAAACAATTAAAAACATGTCTACAACAGTAACACTTATCTTGGCTAGCTCCTTTTTAAATCCAAAATGCTATTTCATTGGTAGAGGTGTTTGCATCAGTCAGAGAGACTTTAAAGTGTGCTGGAAAAGGACTTTTTTTCCCTATGAGTACCACATTCTACTATTTAACCCCTACACTACTTGATTATATTTTGGCTGGCCTAATACACTATGAATTCTGGTTGGCATTCTTAAAGATTTATATATTCATACATCGTGTCAGTACTGCCACTTCAGCTTACATATCTGCTGTCACAGCTTATTGACCTTATCAGATCCTATTAGGACTTGTTCCTGAAGATGTGAAAGAGTGATAATGCTAGGTACACTGGGGCCAGAGCCAGCATCTAAAATATATAAGTGTAACTCTGAGCTCCAGCCTGCAAGAAAGACACCATTTAATGCAGTTATATTGTCAGAAAAAGAAAACTTATCCGTAATTTTTTTTTTTTTTTTTTACACACGTGCTGCTGCCAGCTTTTTGCAATTCTCTGTACATCAGCACTGAGCCAACCAATAGGAGAGTAAGCAGAAAGTTCACTTTTCAAACCATAATGTACTGTTCATGCAGTAAGGTGACAGAATACTAAACATCAACTGCTATAAAGGGCAAATCATTTCAGAAACTGATGTGTAATCACTGTGAACACTACAGTTTATTTATTTTAAAAAAAATGTAAATGGTATTCAATAATTACTACCTTTTGGAAATCTAAACCACAAGGCTCATTAGCAACAAAGAAAAGAAAACAAAAGGGCTAAGGCAAAGAATACCATTTATTGAGACGCTGATCAATAACTGGATCAAGTGAAAGTTTAACATCATATTAGGACATAAATGGGTTTCCTAAGGGGTTCTGGCCTTTGCAACATTTGCCATATACTTCATGAAGAGAGAGACCTTTTCAATGTGCTATATGACCGCAAACACAGAAGGGAAAAAGACTTAGTAGTTCTAAAGTCATAAGGTGTTTTTTTTTTATCTTAATGCATTCTATACATCAAGGTTAAAAAAAAAAAAACAAAAACAAAAAAAACACACTTTTCTCATACCTAAACACTTCAGTCCTGTAATGCAGCACTGTGCTTATCTGCAGGACTTCTCTCCCCCCTTGCTCCCAGACTTGGCCGACAGCGGCAGGAGAAATTGTCTCCTGCCATTGTAGGTCACATCCAGAGAGTAGTGGGCCTGGCTGAGCCATGCTATGTGTTTCCATGGACATACAGAGCCCAGCTCAGGAGCAAGTTCACACACAGCTTTCTATGGTGGCACCAGTAGAAGAGGAGGAACCTGGAGCACCAGCAGTGTAACTCCAGAAAAACACCTGCTCTGTGCAATTGCATAGCATGGAATGGAACCTAAGTATACCATTAGAAAAAAAAGCCTCGCTCTACATTCAATTTCAACTTACGCCTTCTATGACACTCAAAACATACAGTCCTAATAAAAACACCCTAAAAGCATTAAACACATTTTTACATTGCACAAATACTTGCATTGAATATCAATGCAAGTAGTTTGTTATGGGTTTTCGCACAAGGTTCTTTGCCTTATGAATGTAAAGTTATGTTTAATTTTCCTAAGTTCAAGCATATGAAATCAAAAGTAATGTATAGTCACAATGTAGGTCTCCCTGCCTGATGACATCTAACAATAGATCACCGCTCTGTGCCATGGGGATGTGACTCCCATAAGTTGGTTTCCATTCACAAAGTGGAATTCTCCTATTTAGCAGGTTCATCTAGTATCAGACTTTTTCTCCTAATGACTTCAGAAGATCAGTGGCATCTTTGTGGACCTGTAATAAAATGCAGTATACAGTGAGCATAACATTGAATAGAAATACATATAACTGTAATAGATCACTGAATAATCTTGGTTATGATTTTGTACTTATTCTCACAGATGGGGCACGCCCATTGTACTCCACTCACTACTTTTTAATGAGTACTTTCCTAATGCACCCATTTTCACATGTGGCCAAAGTAAGACAAATTTTTCACTGTAATGTTTTTTTTGTTTTTTTTTTTAAAGAGCATTTACAACACAGACTGTGTTGTAAATGTGAATCTAAGAACATTGTACACTACTATAGATTATAGTAGAATACCAGATGTGAGCCCATGTGGACATCTTCATTACATTTATATGTACCTAGAATTTGAACCTTCAGTTTACAGTTCTAGAATTCATTTCAGTTTTATCAGCTGAATGCATTCCATGTACAACGTGTGCAAAAGTCACAATTTTTTTTTTATTTCTAAAGCAGCCACATCCTGAGTGGAAAAGCTTGTCCTCTGACAGCAGCTACAGAGTAGGACCTTTTCTCACTGTGAGAAAGCAGTGCAATGGTCGGCCGTGCCCACCTATGAAGTCAGACGTCTAACGCTGCAATCAGTAAAGATCTGAATAGGTAGGAGCCACATCAGATGTTTGAAAAGAAATCACTGTTTCTCCCAAGATAGTCTGTGGCTTCAGAGACACGGCAAGTTCTGAGGCAGTGCCAACAACTCTGGGCCTGAAAAGTGATCCAGTTTTATCAGAAAAAAAGTCTGGAAAAGCAGAGCCCAATGGTCACTTTCAGGCTATCTGTGCGAGTCCAGTCCAGTGGGATCCAGATGCAGGACTCCAAAAGCCAGAGGAAATTACAGCACTGATTTAGAGAAGAGTCTTAAATGAGGGACAAAAATACCAGAAATTAAATACAAACTTAACACAGCAGAGCTGTAGAAAAGACATTCATCCATCACTGAGGCACACTAGTATGGTAGGGAATATACTGAGCTCACTTTTTTTTTTCCCCCCAGTGTTCAATTCTCAGTGCAGGCCGGAATGCAGCCAGTGGTGCACAAAGGATACCTCAACACAGAGATGGCAGATATAACTACAGACATTTCTGTATCAGTGTGGTGTGCACTATTGCGGTCACAAGCTGTATATTGGTGACCGTACACTTCATACCTCTTTATCTTCTTCCGTTCGCACAGGATAATCTCTAGCTTTACGCAGCCAATGTAAGGCTAGTTCCTTATTCTTCAGCTGTAAGAGAGTTTTTCCCAGGTACAGAAGGTTCTTGCTGTAGAAGTTTGGATCAGCTGTAATAAAATGAAGACATTACCATACAAATTACATCCAGGTATTTGTTTCATATTAATGTATTTAAAGAATGAATAATTTCAAATATTAAAGGTTAGTCGCAATGTAAAATAGTGCAAGGTCTTCAATAAGAAATGACCTGTTAACTTCCTCTACAGGAAAATAGTAATGTGTGCTACATAATTTACAGGTATACCTTACTGTACACTCACATCAATTTCTGACCTCAAGGAGTTTACAAATATAGTCCTTATCTCACATACACACATCCCTATGGTCAGTTTGGACAGGAGCCAGTTAACTTACCAACGTGTTTGGAATGTAGGAGTAAGCCCACACAAGCATATGAACAAAGTGCAGACTCCATGCAGATAGACACCCAGCTGGGATTCAAACTAAGGACCATGAACCCCAGTAACACCACAGTGTTGCCTATACTTTTTTTTTTTTTTTTTTTTTTTTTTATTTCTGCATTAACCACTTCCAGACCGGACACTTTTACCCCCTTCCTGACCAGGGCCATTTTCAGCGCTATCACACTTTGAATGACAATTGCGCGATCATGCAACACTGTACCCAAATGAATTTTTTACCATTTTTTGAGACAGATAAAGCTTTATTTTGGTGGTATTTATTCACCGCTGGGATTTTTATTTTTTTTTTGCCATGTAAATGAAAATGTCCAAAAATTTAGAAAAAGTGTTTTTTTATAAAATTTTGCAAATAAATATTTCATCATAAATCTTTGCCAAAATGTATTCCATTGTTTTTTAGTAAAAAAAAAAATCCAAATTAGTTTATAACCAAAAATTAAAATTTTTAAACATTTTTTTTACATTTTTATTTTGTTATATTTTTAATTTTTATTTTTTTTACATACTGTCACCCTAGTAGTACAGTGTCACCGTGGTGACACTGTACTACTTGTGGGGGGTGATGATTTTTTTTTTTTGTTTTTTTACACATTGCTTTTACATCCTATATGGGTGTAAAAGCAATCATTTCTCTCTGTGTGCATTCTTGCACTCATTGAGAAGTATTGAGTGAGCTGTGATTGGTCACAGCTTGTCACATGGTAAAAGGCTGTTGTGAATAGCCTTGTACCATGTGACCTCTGTGATCATTCACAGATTTCACACGTAGTAAGCAATGATGTCACAAGTGACATCTTGCTTACTACTTTGCATGTGATCACTGATTGGCCAATCAGTGATCACATGATCGGACCTCGTACAGAGGTCCCGTCCGATCGGTGTTTCACTGTGTCCGGAGGACACAGCGGGCACCAGATCGCGGTGCTGCACACTCCAAGGGAGCGCGCACAAGCAGGGTGCGGGGAGGCCGTTTATAAACGGCCATCCGACCCTGCACTGCCACCGTCCGGCCGTTTATATGCAACGGCCGGTTTATATATGCAACGGCCGGGGAAGTGGTTAAAGTGTCACTAAACCCAGGACCCTACATTCACTATATCTGGTCTCCTACAGTACACAACATGGAAGTATAATTATTTTAGTAAATATAAACGGCTAAATACCTTTTCTCATCAACAGGAGCAGTCTTGTGACTTCTATCAGTGTCCACCCAAGCACTGGTTAAAACTTGGAGGAGTTTTCTCTATGCTCTAGGAGGATGCAAAACCCCTGACCTATGTCTGGGCAGTGCTGATTGGCCCTGTGCTAATCTCATGCAATCTCCCAAGGAAGGGAAAAAAAAAATCCTTCTCTAGCAATGTACATTAAACTGAGCATGTGCAGAGTAACTCCACACGTCTTATTAGGAGATAAGAGGGGGACACTGGAAGAAGAGGACGATCAGAGAAGTCAGGATCAAACAGCATTTTTACACAATGCAGAGGATTAACTCCTTAGATTCCACATTGAGTATACCAAGCAGGCTTTACTGCATATACAGAGTGATATTACTGTAGTTAGTTTAGTAACACTAAGGAAATTGATGTCCAGGTATGACATTTTTCCAGCTCAGGGCAAAACAGCGAGTTGGGAGTATAAAGCAGTAAGGCCAGCGCATGATTTAACAAGCGATATTCCAACTAAAATTTGCTCCATTTTCAACAAATTCCAGTGTGTGTGAAGTTAATTTTGGTAGAGTGGAGAAGGGTTAAAACTTTGGTTTTTATTGCTGTGTCCCCACTGGAGAGATTGTACTTGCTTTGTGTCACCAGTGACATCAGAACAGGAAGCAGGGATGAAGCTTCTTTGTGAAAACACAGCCAGCATTAAAAATCTGTACCTGGCAAGTAAACTTCTCCTTAGCTAGCATTAATAACAATCAGCTGTTTCAACCCTTCCTTACACCAAAACTAAGTTTTTCATAGACTTCTGAGATAATGCATACAATGTGTATATATAATAAAGTGCAAATAAACAAATCATGTGACTTCAATGTGTCACGATGTGTGACCAATGAAGTGCATGAATAAAGTGCAAACATTATAATTTCCATAAAGAGTTTATGCATCACTCCTTCATAACCACACATGCATATATAGTGATAAAGGAAACGTATAGTCCAAAGTGAATTAATCCAAGTATATAAGGCGCATGGAAGATCTCAAGGATTTTCGACAACTGGTATAATCATCCAGTTCATGGGCTGGTCCTAACACCACCCTAAGAGGGATCCCTGGCATACCTCCATTTGACAATATACTGCGCAATACCTTTGTGCATCTGGTGAGTGCGCATTTTATCTGTTCCCTGCCTCTCATCGAATTTTATACAACTGGGATTAATTGAGTCACCTGAGCCTTGACTATTTATTCATTTATATATCTATTTAATTATGGACTGGACTAATATCTATCTGACATTTTATACATATCAGCCAATGCATTGCAAAATCCCCCTTGGGATTGGGAAAAAAAACAGCAGTGGATAGTTTTTCAGAGAGGCGGTAAACTCCACCACCAGTCTGAACCAGGATTAAACACTGTGGTGCAGTGCTGAACAACGACACAGCTGTCTAAATCAATCCGCTCCTGGCTTTCTGATTCTGCTGCAATCTACAGACTGCACTGTAGCACATTGTAAACACCATGCTTCCAATACAGGGCTGCTAAATCCGGTCCCCAGTGAAAAATTTGTTTTTATTTTTTTAAACCCTTTAAAACAGTCTCTCAACCTTTGTGAGACAGAGAAACCCCTAAGATAAATTTCAGGTCTCAGGGAACCCCTGTAAAAATGACTGTCTACAACTCATGATACATCAGTGGGAAGAATGCTCATTATACTTGTGATTATTGGGAAGAATTACCCCCTTAAAAGATAGCTAAAAAGATCAACAGTGTCAGTGGGAACTTATCTGAGAGGCAGAAATTGCTCAAGGAACCCCTAGCAACCTCTGGAGGAACCCTAGGGTCCCATGGAACCCTGGTTGAGAAACCCTGCTATAGCCTCCCACCCAAGTCCTAATAAATATAATGTATACAGTTTCTGCTACTGCAAATGTGTTGGGAAAAAAGTGCTGTCATACTATTTCCTCACTTTAAAATCCTAATTTTATCTTGTTAAAACCTTTCAGGAAGCGTAACTGAACTTTAAAATATCAATGCTATTGCATTGTAAAGGAAAACAAAATAAACCAATTTTTAAGTATAAATTACCTTCTTCAGCCTTCTCAAAATATGTTAAGGCCTGAAAGAAAAGAAGAAACTTGTTAACCTCAAAGACATGTTGTTCCTCAAGAACCTGCCAGTAGTATTTTAAACTGTGATGATAGGAGGAGGATCAGTTTTGGTTTGAGTTGGGTAGGGCTATCTTATCCCTGCTGGGGAGACTTCTAACTTCCTGTGGTGTCAACTAGAGAAGATCTTCCAAAATGGGGACAGACATAGCAGAACAGTGCAAAATAAGTTTTCTTTCCCATATTCTTTAACAAAGGTTTTATTACTGCTTGTGCCCCCCCCCCCCCCCCCCCCCCCCCCCCCCCCCCCCCCCCCCCCCCCCCCCCCCCATCATTTTAGATTTTGCTCATTTACCATCTCAGATTACCTACACAGGAAGAAAAAGGTGGGAAAATCTCCTTGGTGGCAAAATAGCAAAAAGAAAAAAAATGTAATCCTTCCTGGTTTTGTTCAAAACAAATGTATGTAGCATTGCAATTTCCCCTTTAAAAGTACTTCTTTAAGTAGTTTGGTCCAGACACAGTAACTGAAATATTGCCTCACAAAAGGAATAAAAAAACTTTGTGAACACCACTCCCCTTGATCAGATCAATTCCTTGAACCAGCCTTTAGTAATTGCAATGGAATATTAGTTGAAAGAAAGTCACCCAGCTTGTTTTACATTCCAGTGTTGTTTCTGCCATAACAATTACCATAGCAAGCAAAATCCAAAATTCCCAACTTTAGAATTTCCTCACTTTCAGTCTCAGTGGCAATGATCACTAAGATACATAAATAGAGCGTAAATCCCTAGTGGTGACAGAGCAATAAACACTTCACAGGTTTTTAAATTTCTCATCGCTCCCTCCATTAAAAAGAAAAAAAAATAGCTTTAGATATACATTAAGCAGCTTGTAAAAATACATATTCATTAGCAGTGTCACAGCCTTGTTAATGTTCTAAGCAATGTTACCTCTTCAAATGTTGCAGATGGTGGAGATGCAAACAGAGCTGCAGCAATTTTAGTCTGATACCAGGGCAGCTCAGCAAAACCGTAACACCTGTAAGGTACAAAGTCACTCATATTACCTATGTATGAGCACTGAGCAAGGGGTTCAGCAATACATCCATCATTGGTCCAGTAAAACCCAAAGACTAAGTCAGTGTATTAATATATAGAAGTAAAACAGATGGGGTGCTGGGAACAATCAGTCTATTACTTCTATGTCCTTATAAAAAAAAACCCCACAAAACAGCAAATTGAAGTGGGTAAATATCAAATCTGTTTAAAACTCCCAGGTGTTTTGAATGTGCAAAACAATGCAGAGTTCAGCAGTCTGGGGAATGTAATGTCTAGCACAGCATACACAGTGCAGCAGTTTGTACTAATTGGTGGGACTATTCGTTGATGATGCGCAGTGTATAAATGCTTCAGTGGTGGCCAGAGAAGTGCTTGTAATGCAGCGGCAGCCATTCTTTAAGTACTTGCTAGTGTTGAGGTACTGGGCTTCCAGGAGGTGATGTCTTACCAGCACCTTCTGTAGGATGTTATAAAAAAAAAAAAAAAAAAAAAAAAAAGTGGTGTCTGCTTCCAAATTATTGAGAACATAAAATGTGCCTTTGGCAATATGGCAGCATGGTTGAAGGGAAAACACAACTGTGCATGTCCATGCTGCATATCTGCAGGTATTGCCTGCTATTGGCCTTCGAGAATATGTGATAGCCCAGGAGGTGGGAGCTTTTACTCTAATGTCTTGAGCTTTTTGTAAAATATGGAATGTTATAATAAACCTTAAGTTTCTAAACCAGCCATTAGTCAGATTCTATTCATACCTATATCACTGTAAAGTGCAGGTTAAAATCCATTTCTATGCTGCAACACAAACATTTGCTGTAACTAACTCAATTGTGAATGTTCACAGAAAATCACATACCAAAGGCCCATGAGATGAATGGTCGTGGTATCTTTTGGGTTAAGCTCAATGGCCCTCTGCAAAGAATATTAAGAGTTAAAATGCTGTTTACCAACCTGAATTTCACCCTTTTGAATGTGTTAAGCAAAAATATGGTCTGCAAAATGCACTATAATAAATTACAACCCGACTTCAGACATTTTATTTTTAAAAGAAAGTAATGACCAGCAGATGTAGTGATCAAATCCAATGAGAATCACAATAGGTTATCATTTTGAAGTTCAATACTACTTCATGTGGCTATGCCTGCAGACAGATGCATTTCAGAGGCACATACAGTTGCGTTCAAAATAATAGTGTGTTGAAAAAAGTGAATAAAGCTCAAAATCCTTTTAATAGCTTTTATTCCCATACACACAAATGCATTGGGAACACTACACATTCTATTCCAAATCAACGCATGAAGAAAAATATATCACATTTGTGGTGTTCCTCTAAAACAGTGGTTCTCAACCTTCCTAATACCGTGACCCTTTAATACAGTCCCTCATGTTGTGGTGACCCCCAAACATAAAATTATTTACCCAGTAATTATAATTCATGAGTGTCGTTTTACCTCCAATACTGCTGCTTTCAACACAGTAGCTGCTTTTAACAGAGTAGCTGCTTTCAACACAGCAGCTGCTTTCTACACAGTAGCTGCTCTTTTCACGTCGGAAATATGTGTTTTCTGATGGTCTTAGGGGACCCCTGTGAAAGGGTCGTTCGACCCCCAGGTTGAGAACCACTGCTCTAAAACAAATTGAAGAAAAGTGAATATTAGTTTGTTCAAAAAAAATAGCAGTGTTTGTATTCTTCTTTACAAACTCAAACATTCACTATATAAACTGAAAAATGTTTGAAGATTTTGCTTTCCTTTGAATCACTTAATGAATATTTAGTTGTATAAGCACTGTTTCTGAGAACTGCTGTACATCTGTGTTGCATGGAGTCAACCAACTTCTGGCACCTGTGAACAGGTATTCCAGCCCAGGATGATTGGACTACATTCCACAGTTCTTCTCTATTTCTTAGATTTGCCTCAGAAACTGCATTTTTGATGTCACCCCACAAGTTTTCTATTGGATTAAGATCCGGGGATTGGGCTGGCCACTCCATAACGTCAATCTTGTTGGTCTGGAACCAAGATGTTGCACGTTTACTGGTGTGTTTGGGGTCGTTGTCTTGTTGGAACACCCATTTCAAGGGCATTTGCTCTTCAGCATAAGGCAGCATGACCTCTTCAAGTATTCTGATGTATTCAAACTGATCCATGATCCCTGGTATGCGATAAATAGGCCCAACACCGTAGTATGAGAAACATCCCCATATCATGATGCTTGCGCAACCATGCTTCACTGTCTTCACAGAGTACTGTGGCTTGAATTCAGTGTTTGGGGGTCGTCTGACAAACTGTCTCCGGCCACTAGACCCACAAAGAACAATCTTACTTTCATCAGTCCACAAAATGTTGCGCCATTTCTCTTTAGGCCAGTCAATGCTCTTTGGCAAATTGTAACCTCTTCAGCACATGTCTTTTTTTTCAACAGTGGGACTTTGCAGGGGTTTCTTGCAGGTAGCTTGGCTTCACATAGGCATCTTCTAATTGTAACAGTACTCACAGGGAACTTTACACCTTCTTTGATCTTCCTGGAGCTGATTGTTGGCTGAGTCCTTGCCATTTTGGCTATTCTTCTATCCATTCAAATGGTAGTTTTTGCTTTCTTCCACGTCTTTCAGGTTTTGGTTGCCATTTTAAAGCATTTGCGGTTATTTTAGCTGAGCAGCCTATCATTTTCTGCACTTCTTTATATGTTTTCCCCTCTCCAATCAACTTTTTAATCAAGGTACGCTGTTCTTCTGAACAATGTCTGGAACGACCCATTTTCCTCAGAATTTCAGAGAGAAATGCACTGTAACCAGCATGTACAATATTTACTGCCTTCCTTCCTTAAATAAGGGCAATAATTGCCACCTGTTTTTCAAAGAATGAATGACCTCACTAATAGAAGTCCACACTGCTATTATTTTGAACATGCCCCTTTCAATTAGTGATTCAATTACACAGAATCAGCAGCATGCATGTCATGACTGTTGGGTCTGTTGGATTTCTATTACTCTACTATACCTGCTAGTAAATTATTTGCCATGTAGAAATATCATTTCTACCAAAAACAGTGATTGATCAGGTTAGTGATGTCTGACTGCTATTATTTTGAACACAACTGTAGTAAGCAGTTCTACAGCCATTAGAAACTGAAAATAAAAACAAACAATACTGTTGCAGACACAAGTCATAGGCCCTAGAAGCATTTAGAAAACACAGAACTTTTTCATTAACCTGAATTGGGGCTTTCAACCCTTTGCAAAACCTTACAGGTAGGTGCAAAATGAACGTGGAGCAATGCAACTGCACAGTGAATTTTTAATGTGTACTAGACAGATAAATATTGATATAAAAAGAACAGGCCGTGGTTTTGAAAAGCTTTATTAACATGAAGCAAACAGCTGTGAGGCCTTTGAGTTCAACTGCCTTCAGCAAATTTACACATGAAGGACATGTCTTTGTGACTGATTTGTTAACTTAAAGTTTTTAAAGTCCTTGTTTGATCAGGCAGAATGAATAAAAATATAACTTGTAATTATGAAAAACCTTAATAAATGAAAACACTTTGGTCCCTTTCACACAAGTGGGCTGATGGGGTCCGCCTGTCCGTTTTGCAGGCAGACCCGATCAGTTCATCCACAGACTTCTATAGACCGGTGGGTGTCAGCGGACAATAGTCCAATCTGATCCTGTACACCAAAAACAGACTGATGAGGATCCGTTCCCCATCCATCCAGTGAATTGGATGACAATCGGGTGGAAACAGACAGGCGGTCCATTTCCATTCAACTGTCCCATTGAAGTCAGCAGGCAGTGTCTGTAGCTGCTCTACAGAAGCAGAGTGGCAGAGATCTGTTATCCGCCAGCAGAGAGATCCCCCGCTGATGGATCCACCCTGTCTGAAAGGGGCCTTAGATTAAGATAAGCAAATATATTTTTCTCTATCTTTACTTTTATCTGGAGGTGTCTGATAGAGGTCTCGGAGTTCTTTGAGAGAATTCCACTCACAATTTGCTGAAAATTAAAGTTTAAAACTTTTTTTTAACCAGGTAGCCATGCTTTTTTTTTTCTTTTTTTTGGAGACAGACTTTTTAAAGACTTCCCTTCATAGGAGACATGTCTGACCTCATCTAACGTCCTTCACTTCTCTATACATCTTGCAGATGCCACATCAGCTTCATGATTAGGAAAGTCGCTGACTGAGAAATATTCTGTGCCATAGTGGTTCTAACTACATTGGCTGTCTAATTTAATCGATACCAACCTGGGTTGGTATATCTCCACAAGAGAGAATCCCTATAACCTCTAAACTGCCAATTTGCAATAATTCACCTAAACTGTGCAGATTGGACCAGTCACTGCAGTGCTTTTATAGGTCTCTTTTCATTAGCTGTGGCTGTACTTTACCTGAAAGTGGTCCCTTATGGTGTATGAATTTCCAATTTTCACTTTTATGCCTTCATAATCCCCCACATCACTGAGGCATATGCCATACCACTGCAACAGAAACAGATAAATATATTAAAAGGAATAGTTGGGGGAAGAGGTGGGGACATAAAATGTTATAAGCTACCAGTCATCCTATATTTCTTAAACACACCCAGCTGACTAGCTATATTCCATATAAATACAAAGGGGTTCATTTACTAAAACTGGAGAGTGCAAAGTCTGGTGCAGTTCTGCACAGAAACCAATCCGCTTCCAGGTTTTATTGTAAAAGCTTAATTGAACAAGCTGAAGTTAGACGCTGATTGGCTGCCATGTACAACTGCACCAGATTGAATGCTCTAGTTTTAGTAAATTTACTCCAATATGTTAGTTCAGACTTACAGCCATAAATAAGAGCAAGGCTGGCTGACAGCTATAAAAAGTTTTTATTTACAAGCAAAACTAAACCAACTGATTTAACTAACAAAGGCTAAGATGGCAGCTACCTTGGCTGTAGAGTATTGGAGAGCTTAGCTCTGCTTTAAACACTACAATATATGACATTTACACAATGACCACACGTTGCCTTGCCTTCAACCTTTGTGCCGCAACCCGATTGATGGACGGAAAGGAAAAAAAAAATGAAAGAAAGAGAGAAACTTAAAAAGGTAAAGTAAAGCAAACCCTTGTTTAATTCTGGCTAAAACATGAAAGGTTAAAACCACTGGGTTTTTCTGTGTTTTTTTTTTTAATTGACATTTATGTATGACTGCCCTTCACTATAGGTCTAGCTGACCACTGTCTCCACTACAGAATGTGATGGGAAATATGATATTTGTTCTGTCTTTCTCAGTGACAACAGTCACCAGTACTAATAGAGGGGTGAACCTTCAGCAGGGACACAGCAACAAAAACCTCTTGCAGACCAGGTAATGCATATGTGCACTGACAAAAAGGGTGAGTTTTAACACATCTGTCCATGGCAGCCGTAATTTCTGCGGTAAGCGTGTGCTCACTGTCAGCTTCGAGTCTCCAGTTATCAAATGCACTTCAAGTCACTTTAAAACAATAGACTGGATGTGTCTGATGTAGATAAATGTTTGTTCTTCTGAAAAAATTACTGACAGATACATTAAATTGCCAAAAGTATTGGGCCAGCCCTCAAAATCATTGGATTCAGGTGTTCCAATCACCTCCATGGCCACAGGTGTATAAAATCAAGCACCTAGGCATACAGACTGCTTCTACAAATATTTGTGAAAGAATGGGTCGCTCTCAGGAGGTCAGTGAATTCAAGCGTGGTACTGTGATAGGTTGCCACCTGTGCAGTAAGTCCATCCATGACATTTCCTTGCTAGTCCATATTCCACGCTTAACTGTTAGTGGTATTATAACAAATTAGAAGCAACTGAGAACAGCAGCAACTCAGCCACGAAGTGGTAGGCCACATAGGATGACAGAACGGGGTCAGCGCATGCTGATGCACACAGTGAACTGAAGTTGCCAACTGTCTGCAAGTCAATAGCTAAAGACCTACAAACTTCGTGCGGCCTTCAGATTAGCACAATGGCCAGGCAGCTGCATCCAAGCCTTACATCACCAAGTGATGCGTCCCAATACTTTTGGCAATAAAGTGTACCTGCAAATATGACTTGAAGCTGCTTTGTGCTAGAAAGCCAAAAACTACAATTTGCCTAACTTTAAGTTATACTGAAGCCGACAGAACAGGGAGTATAGATAGAACAGGGAGTATAGATGAAAGTGGAAAACAACTTTTAGTGACTAATCTCCTGAAGGCAAATATAAACAGCAAGATAGATATGCTTTTCCTAACATATATCATTGTTAGAAAGCAAGTGCTTGGCATAAATGCATTCACTCAAGTAAAATGTAGCAACTCGAGGCAACAGTATTATTGTGTAGCTGGAGATTGAAAGAATCTTTAAAAATCAATAATATAGAGCTAGAAACTAGTTTGCCATTACATTAACAGTCTATGTCCCTGGTGTCCCTTCCATGAGCAGTGGACAGGGCATGGCCATGTGGGATAGGTATGAGCTTTTACTGGGTCTAAGCTTAGCAAAAGGGTGAGAGAGTTGAAGTTCTGAAACATCTCCAATTAGAATCAAATGCTCCCAGATAGAATTCTTTGAGCATCTTATATGATAGATTCTGTATGAACCTCTACTGGGAATGGTATCAGGCATGCTCAACTGGAGCAGATCCATATCATGCTGGCATGGTTATATCCCTTAAACTTTTGTTGGAAAACTGCAAAGTTTTCACAGAGCAGCTAACAGCTCAAAGGTAAGTAAAGACAGCCCTCTTCAGTGTACGGTGTCCAATAATTCTTACAGCATTAATCTGAAAAGGATGAATGGGGCAACTTGGTAAGCATGTCTCGCTGGCTTCCTGGCAAAGGTCAATCATCTTTTACAGAGTTTTATGTTAGGTTTAAAAATGTTATCTGACGGGACCTTTTACATAGTAATGAATTGATAACAATATTGCTTATAGATTGGACATAAAACAGTTTGGACCAACTTTGTGAGCTGGTGAGCAGGACTCGTTCAGTTCCAATGCTTTCTTAGCCAAGTCTCGGGATTCATACACCAGGCGTTTTTTAACATCAGGGGCAGTCTTGCTGAGTTGAGCCAGGTCTCGAGAGGCCCGGGCAAGTCTCCAAAGAAGTTCAGGATCTTCACTGAAGAAACAGAAGTGAGTATGTCATAATGGAACATCACAATAGTTGAATTGCATGCATCAGGTGAAAATCCTTTTTTCAAAATCAGTGAAACAATATTAACAAATGGAACACAATGGCTGTTCTAGAGGTCATACAGACCATAAACAATGTGGTGGAAAGTGGTGATGTTAAGCCTGCTACGGTTTTAAAATCTGGGCAGAACTTTCCAAAGATTCTCTAAACTTTCATAAATATGCAGAGTCTAGAACAGAGGTGTTAAACTGGCCACCCTCCAGCTGTTGTGAAACTACAAGTCCCATCATGCCTCTGCCTTTGGGAGTCATGCTTGTAACTGTCAATCTTTGCAATGCCTCATGGGACTTGTAGTTTGGCAACAGCTGGAGGGCCGCCAGATTGACACCTGTGGTTTAGAGCAAAGTATCTTCTTAGAATATGGGGGCCTCAAATCTCCTTCAGGGCTAGAGATAATGATTTGTAACTCTTCTTGTGGCATAAGAGACAGATTTATTTATTTCAGGTACTTATATAGCGCTGTCAATTTCCGCAGCACTTTTACATATATATTTTACATTCACATCAGTCCCTAACCCTCAAATTATTTTTTTTAAAAGTGAACCTGGACTCAGAAAGTGAAGATTTGCTTTTCATCTTGAATGACACCTTATAAATAGCAATGCATTTCCTGGTATGGCAGTGTGTCTAGGCAAAACTGCCTACAACTTCATAACTGTATATCTGCAGTGTGAGATTTAAGGCACTGCTGCCACTTATAACAAAATTAAAAAACACAGAGCTCTAATTGGGGTTCAAGCAACATGCTTTTAGTTTTTTTCACACAAATTTAGACAAACACATCAATCTTTCCAACAGAAATGTTGATTGTATCAATACAGCACTGTAGGGGTGCTTGTGTGAATGATACAAAATGAAAAGTACAGTGCCATGAGAAAGTATTCACACCATTTGAAATTTTCCACATTTTTTTCATGTTACAACCAAAAACGTAAATTTTTTGGGGGGGATTTTATGTGATAGAGCAACAAAGTGGCACATAATTATACCATATATCATTTTCCTTCCACTTCATAGAGTCCACCTGCGTGTAATTTAATCTCAGTATAAATACAGCTGTTCTGTGAAGCCCTCAGAGGTTTGTTAGAGAACATTAGTGAACAAACTGCATCCTGAAGGCCAAGGAACACACCAGACAGGTCAGGGATAAAGTTGTGGAGATGTTTAAAGCAGCGTTAGGTTATAAAAATATATCCCAAGTTTTGAACATCTCATGGAGCACTGTTCAATCCATCATCCAAAAATAGAAATAATATGGCACAACTGCAAACCTACTAAGATATGGCCGTCCACCTAAACTGACAGGCCAGGCAAGGATAGCAATAAATCAGAGAAGCAGCCAAGAGGCCCATGGTAACTCTGGAGGAGCTGCAGAGATCCACAGCTCAGGTGGGAGAATCTGTCCCCAGGACAACTATTAGTCGTGCACTCCACAAATCTGGTCTTTATGGAAGAGTGGCAAGAAGAAAGTCATTGTTGAAAGAAAGCAATAAGAAGTCTCGTTTGCAGAAGCCATGTGGAGGACACAGGAAAGATGTGAAAGAAGGTGCTCTGGGCAGGTGAGACCAAAACTGAACTTTCTGGCCTAAAAGCAAAACGCTATGTGTGTCAGAAAATTAACACTGCACATCACCATGAACACACCATCCCCACCTTGAAACATGGTGGTGGCAGCATCATGTTGTGGGGATGCTTTTCTTCAGCAGGGACAGAGAAGCTGGTCAACGTTGATGGAAAGATGGATAGAGCCAAATGCAGGGCAATCTTAGAAGAAAACCTGTTAGAGTCTGCAAAAGACTTAAGACTGGGGAGGAGGTTCATCTTCCAGCAGGACAACAACCCTAAACATTCAGCCAGAGCTACAATGGAATGGTTTAGATCAAAGCATATTCATGTGTTAGAATGGCCCAGTCAAAGTCCAATTGAAAATCTGTGGCAAGACTTGAAAATTGCTGTTTATAGACACTCTCTATCCAATCTGACAGAGCTTGAGCTATTTTTCAAAGACGAATGGGCAAAAATTTCACTCTCTAGATGTGCAAAGCTGGTAGAGACAACCCCAAAAAGACTAATTACAGCGAAAGGTGGTTCCACAAAGTATTGACTCTGGGGGCTGAATATAAATGCACGCCCCACTTTTCAGATATTTATTTGTAAAAAATTTTGAAAACCATTTACCATTTTCCTTCCACTTCACAATTATGTGCCACTTTGTGTTGGTCTATCACATAAAATCCCAATAAAATACATTTACGTTTGTGGTTGTAACATGACAAAATGAGAAACATTTCAAGGGGTATGAATACTACTTCTTCATGGTACTGTATATGTGAGTAACAGAATTGCTTATCAATCACGATGACTTTCCAATATGATGGAAAATCTCATTTATTGAAGGAAAGAATGACCGTTCTGTTGCTCTACCTTTTAAAGTAAGTCCGCATAGCACAATTCATATTTTCAACCATTTAATGGAAACCTACACTGGAAGAAATAAGGAGGCTTTCATTGTGAGCTTCCTCCAAAAATGCTAATTGCATTGTAATCCCAAAGACAATGATATGGAACAAGCTTGAGAATCAGGAAATTCAGTGTCAGAGTATAGCCCTATTCTGCATACAGTGTGGATCAGTCAATCAGAAAGTTCTTACGACATTGGACCAGCAGGGAACCCAACAAACCTGTATCTTCAGTCGTAGAGGCCAGCAATGGAATCCTTTATATTTCAATACAGGTTTAAAAGGAATATAATTGCAAACCCGGTTTCTATCACCACCATGAAAGACTTGCCTATCTAAGAGCTTCCTTGGTAAAACCTGATTTTAAAGTGGCTGAAGGTTTTATTTGACCTTAATGCATTCTCTGCATTAAAGCGGAGTTCCAGTAATTTTTTTTCCCCTGAAAGACAATGGTCTCCCTTTCCACAGTCTGGAGATACAGTTGCAAGAAAAAGTATGTGAACCCCTTGGAAATACGTGGAGTTTTGCTTGAATTGGGCATAAAATGTGCTCTGAACGTCATCTAAGTCACAACAATAGAAGAACACAGTCTGCTGAACATAATACTACACAAACATTAGATGTTGCCATGGTTTAATTGCACATAACATGTAAACATTCACAGTGCAGGGAGGAAAAAGTATGTGAGCCTTTGGACTTAACTGGTTGACCCTCCTTTGGCAGCAATAACCTCAACCAAACGTTTCCTGTAGTTGCAGGTCAGACCTGCACAACGATCTGGAGTCATTTTGGACCACTCCTCTTCACAAAACTGTTTCAGTGTAGCAATATTCTTGGGATGTCTGGTGTGAATTGCTCTCTTAAGGTCATGCCACAGCATTTCAATCGGGTTGAGGTCAGGACTCTGACTGGGCCACTCCAGAAGGCGTATTCTGTGCTGTTGCAGCCATTGTTTTGTTAAATGACTTGTATGCTTTGGGTCATTGTCCTGTTGCATCACCCATCCTCTGTGGAGCTTCAGTTGGCGGACAGATGGTCGTACGTTTTCCTGCAAAATGTCTTGATAAACTCTGGAATTCATTTTCCCATCAATGACAACAATCCGTCCAGGCCCTGAGGCAGCAAAGCAGCCCCAAACCATGATGCTCCCTCCGCCATGTTTTACACTGGGGATGAGGTTTTGATGTTGGTGTGCTGGGCCTTTTTTTCTTCACACATAGTGTGTGTTCTTCCCAAACAACTCAATCTTAGTTTCATCTGTCCACAGTATATTTTGCCAGTAGTGCTGTGGAACATCCAGGTGCTCTTTTGCAAACGTCAAACGTGCTGCAATATTCTTTTTGGACAGAAATGGCTTCCTCCATGGTGTCCTCCCATGTACTCCATTTTTGTTTAATGTTTTCCTTATTGTAGATGTGTCAACAAAAATGTTAGCATGTGCCAGAGATTTCTGTAGGTCTTTAGCTGACACTCTGGGATTCTTCTTTACCTCATGCAGCATTCTGCGCTGTGCTCTTGCAGTCATTTTTACAGGACGACCACGCCTAGGGAGAGTAGCAACAGTGCTAAACGTTCTCCATTTGTAGACAGTCTGTCTTACCGTGGACACATGAACATCAAGGCTTTTGGAGATACTTTTGTAACCCTTTCCAGCTTCATGCAAGTCAACAATTCTTGATCGTAGGTCTTCTGAGAGCTCTTTTCTGTGAGGCATGGTTCACATCAGACAGTGCTTCTTGAAACCAGTAAACCCAAAACAGGTGTCAGCAACACATCCAATATCATCACACTGATTGGAGTCAAGGTTGGCTCACTCCTGGCTCCAATTAGCTCTGGGAGAAGTCATTAAGCTAGGGCCTCACATACCTTTTCCTCCCTGCACTGTGAACGTTTACATGTTATGTGCAATTAAACCATGGCAACATCTAATGTTTGTGTAGTATTATGTTCAGCAGACTGTGTTCTTCTATTGTTGTGACTTAGATGACGTTCAGAGCACATTTTATGCCCAATTCATGCAAAACTCCACGTAATCCCAAGGGGTTCACATACTTTTTCTTGCAACTGTATATACAGTATATATAAAAAAAAAAAAATTTCTCCCTAAATACCTTTTATTGATAATTTCTGACTCCACTTCTGGTCCCGGCCACTTAGGCGATTACATCATCAGGTTTTCCCTAGGACTTCTGGGATATCAGCGTCATCTATCCCAGCATTCCTAGGGAATGACGAATACCAAAATCTTGCGTTATTATGAGACCGGAAGTGACACGATCATGAGGATTTCTTCACACTGTGCAGGTGCGAGATCGCTCCTTCACACTGCGCAGGCGTGAGAAAATGCAGCACTTCTTCACACTGCGCAGGAGCAAGAACAGGAAGTGCATGCTGGGTAGCCAGCTGCACAATCTCCCAGAAGAATGTCTGAGCCAGCTTTAGGCGCCCACACTTAAGATGACAGCGTTCACAATAGGAGGGTGCAGTAAGTAATATTTTTTTTTATAAGGAAAGCAAAGGATTACAAGTACAGGTGATCTCAACTTGCATTGCCTAAGCTGCCACTCTCACATGAATGCCTTTAGAAAAAAAATAACTAAATGGCCGGAACTCCATTTTAAGATAAAAAACATCTGTGCATAGGATCCCCCTAAATACGTACCTGAGCAAATCTTAATCCAGTGCAGTGCCTGAGAACAGCGGCTTTCTCTTCTCTCTTTCCTCAGTGGACATGGAAGCAGCAGCTGGAACCACTGGTTCCTGCTGCTATCAATCACAGCCTGTGAGGAGGGAGCATGGGGCAGGACCGAGCCATGCTGTGTGTGACAATGGACACACACAGCACAGCTCAAATTTGAGCTTGCACGACTGCCTCTATAGCAAATGACTTGTATAGGGGCACTGGGGGGGAGGGTGGGTTGAGTTAGTTGTGGAGGAGCTAGGAGCACCAGCAGGGGACCCCAGTGGATAGGTTTACAATCACTTTAAGCCCTGCATAGGATTTAGTCAGTCAAATATGGCTTAATTTTCTCCCATTCAACTGAATCCCCGAACCATGCTATACAGCATGGATGAAGGAATCTCCACTGGCAGCTACTGTATTCAGCAGTGTCGGCCTAAATACAGCTGCTAAATAGTGATTTGCTAGGGTGCAGTCACTGTTTGTGATAATTATCCACCTGGCTCGGTCAATTTTTAAATCAACCTCTGTCAAGCCAGGGGGTGCTTGCAGGGCCCTCCAATGTTGGAATGTGGCCAAATAGCTCATCTATGGCCAGCTTTATAAAAGGGTGATAACCGTGATAATTCCAGATGATTGAGGAGATCAATTCTCAAGAAGAACAGCAAACGTTACCCAATATGGCATCTTAAATTTGATTGATTACTATGAGCCACACCACAGATTTTAGAAACCCATCCTGGAATCTATCTTAAACAAGTTACCAATCAACACTAATATTACATTTAGCTTCTATAGAACACCATGACATGTTATTATAATGTTCACGATTTGAAAAGCACTGGGCATAAACCATTCGTACCTGTTTTTGAACTGGCTCAGAAATTCATAAAGCTTTTCAGTTTCTGCACTGTCATAAAGATAATCTGCTTGCTCCTTTGTGTCTTCAACTTAAAAAGAGAAAAACAAACAATTAAACCAGTGCAATCTGAACAGACATTTTATCTTGTAAGCAATAAATGAATACATTTATCGTATATTATTCCTCAGCCAAACATTATGACAGCCCATAGCCAAGATACTAAAGGTATATTGCAGAGTACACAGGGCAACTGTTTAATAAGTGCCTGAGTACTGTATATTACACAGTGCTAGCTTTCTGTAATGTCACCCTAGACATAGGCCATTTCCCCATCTAGCTGCTTGTCAGGGATTCCAGTTTATATTAACCTGCACTCTAGATAAACACCTCCCCTTTACCCAAGCAGCTGGAAAAATTATTTTATTCCACTGCAGAATAAAAAAAAGTGATTTCAAATATCCCAGCACTATCCTTTGTGAGAACAAATACAGAAAAAAAAAAAAAAAAAAAAAGTTATGAACACCAATAAATAAATCACATTTGCACAGCGATTGATGGACTTGTTTATTTTATGAGGAATATGCATACTGTTTATAGCATTTGCCTCACCTATGTGATTTATTTATTAGTGATTTCAGCATGGGGTTATAACTTTTTGTATTTATTCTCACAAGCGATACCAGAAGGGTGTTTAACCACTTGCCGTTCACCCTATAGAAGCTATTTGTGAATGAATGATATATATATTATACACATACACACACTACATACACATGATTCTGCATCTCCAGGTAGGGGGCGCATTTGTGCGCCCGCCTACCCGCATTGTCACTGGCTCCTGTACATGTCAATCACTGGATCCGGGCCAGCGATTTATGGCAGGGACCCAGTGATCGGCGGAGCAACTGACAGGAATGAGATCTGTGAATGTAAACAACACAGGTCTTTCCCCGGGCAGTGGGGATATGCTGGTTTTTATCTCCCAGCAAAGCAGGAAGATAAAAACCAGCACATTCCCTAGCAAAACACCACACAGTAAACAGTAAAAACACTCCCTGGCACAGTTAACCCTTTGATCGCCCCCGATGTTAACCCTCCCTGCCTAGTGTCATTAGTACAGTGACAGTGCTTTATTAGCACTGATCACTCTATTACTGTCACTGGAGAGGTCAGTGCCAGTTAGTCAGATTCCACCTAGTGTCCGAATGCTTACCGCACTAGAACAGTCCCATTATAAGTCACTGATCGCCACAATTACTAGTATTAAAAAAAAATCTGTTTGTAGATCTTTTTTCATTATTTAAAAATAAAAAACACAGTAGTGAGCAAATACCATCAAAAGAAAGCTATATTTATGTGAAGAAAAATTATATTAATTTCATTTGCGCAGTGTTGCATGACCACGTAATTGTCAGTTAAAGTAATGCAGCAGCACCGTATAGTAAAAAATGGCCTGGTCGTGAAGGGGGGGGTAAATCTACCAGAAGGCAAGTGGTTAAAAGAACATAATGAATGACTGCCCACAAAAAGTAATTATTTCCATTAGCAGGTGAACCCATTTTGTTTTGGGGAAGGGGGCTCCACTTATGGTTAGGCTCTCTTTGCCTGATCACAGTAGTTATGAAGTGTAATATAAGAATGTATTTTATAAATCAAGGACTAATCTGTAATGTACAGTAACTTACAGCCAATAGTCAACGTTCACCTCACAGATCTGGCTACAATTCGCTAAACTCCAAATGGTTGCCATGGATGGCTGCACTTCATACATATTATTATACATTATTTATAAAGCGCCAATCGTTCGCTCAGCGCTGTATATTCACTGCTCTCTGCACTGCCTTCTCTAAGCCTATTAGAATGCCATTAGAAAAAAAAATGGAAGGTTTTAAACAAAAAGTAAAACAAGAGGATCTAAAGAGGAAATGATTTCAAGTGCAGGACAAGCACTAGTTTCTCCAGTCAAGTTGAGTCCATTCCGAAGTTAATTTCCATATTTACGTACAGAAACCTGAAGACTAGACTTCTGTTCATTGTTCAAATCCCCACAAATAAAACACCTTTAATGCTGGCGTGTACAACGGCATGCTTGCACTTCCATCGGTACGATGCTACGGCCAGGAATGAGAGAGATGACACGACAAGGCCTTTCCCCAACAAGGTCAACTTCACTGGGATCTGTTGTGGTGGACAAAATGAATCAACTGTGAATTTCCAATACCTTCTTCCAATTTCCCATAACTTTAAAGGATAAGTTCACCTTTGGTACATGTTCCACCCGTTTTTAGGGTGAAACATGTAACATGTTCCCATAGCTGTAGCTGCGGCTACCGCCGCCCCCCCCCCTCTTTTGACAGTAAGGGGAGAATTTTCACCATACAATCTGTCAAATTTGAAAACAGTGCAGCCGTGCTAAGCTCCGCCCACATGGTCACATCATTCATTCACAGACTTCCGTGAATGAATGAACTGCAAGTTCTGACAGCCTTAGTGGCTGTGGGCTTGTAGTTTTCAATGAACTATCATGGAGCTGTGGAGCACCGTTGTGGTTCATTGAAGCTTCCTGTCAGAATATCTTCTTGCCAGCAGATATTCTGACAGGTGTGCAGGAGTCTTGCATGGCACCAGTGATCTACTGATCGTTGGTGCAATGCTTTCCAGGCTCCTGCAGACAAAAAATAAAAATGCACATTTTTTTTTACCTGCTTCCATGGAAGCCTAAAGCCAACTACACACTGCTGAAATGAAATCTCCTGCTGGCTTGGAGGAAACACAGCCAATGTATGGCCCTGCTGGCTCTGCTCAGTTCAACAAAAGCTCAATCAACTGGGGTCGAAGGAGTCCATCAGAAAATTGTCACCCAAGCAGCACCTGCATGTAATCAGATGGAGGCACTGTTTGGGTAGTCTGACAGGCCACACTGCCTGTAGCCTGGAAGATGGATTCATCCATTCATAATGTAAGCCTGAATAGAGGATGTTAGATTTTAGCTGAACGAGAGAGAAAAAAAAAAAAATTAGCTAACTTAACAGTGAATTTCTGCTCCGACAAGCAGATGACTACATAGGAGTGCAGCTTTGCATCTCAGGTTTGGGGGTGTAAACTACGGTATTCTAGGAGCTTGACAGTCAAGATTCAGATTCTTACAAATGTCAGTTCCTGACCGCTTCTCTTTGAAGAGCTTTAGCATGAAAACAAATCACCAATAAATTTACATAATATTATGTACACATGGTATTTTATTCATTGCGAGTACAATATGTGCAGAATGTAGGCAAAAGTTCATGCTCATTTTCCCATGTTTTACCCCTTTATTAGGCCAATCTCCACGTTTCCTGTCACTTTCAATAGTTTGTTGCACCAAATAAACTATTCCCTTCACCAAGTGCTGCACTGACTAAGCACTGTAAGTACTGCATGTAGGCTCAGCTACACACAGTACACAGTGGTGGGTTCAAGCTGTGAGACAGAGACTTTCCGTGTCACACCCCAAGCAATGCAGAGTTGGTCTGACGCTCTGCCATTTATAGGCAGCTTTGAATGAATAGAAAAGCTTCCTCTGATTGGCTGATTCAGAGGGACAGACTGATAATGTCATGCTTCAGCCAATCAGGGGAAGCTTTGCATTCATTCACAGAATTCAAAGCTGCCTATGAATGGCTGAGCACTGCTCAGACTGACTATTTTGTTCCAGGTGTAAGATGGGAAGTCACTGTCTCACAGCCAAAACCCAATACTGTGTACTGTATGTAGCAAAAGTTACAAAGTTCATACTGTACCAGGGGCAGACTGACAACTTATGGGGTCCCAGGCAATAGGGGATCATGGGGCCCGTGTCCTTGCCCACACTCAAAGCACACTCAAAAAAAGCTTATAAAAAAAAAAAAAAAAAAAAAAAAAAAGAGTGCCTGGGGCATTTCATGGGCCCGCCTACTTACCCGGGGTACTTGGGCAGTGCCCAAGTGCTCGAATGGTCAGTCTGCCCCTGTACTGTACTTACAACCAGTGCACAAAATGAAGGAAATAGTTTTTTTGGACCAGCTTGGTCCAAACAAACTACTTCAAAATGACAGGATATGTGGAGATCAGCTTTAATACTGAAAGTTACGGAATTTTAGCAAGCTCCCAAATGGCTGATAACACAATATCTTTGTTGTACAGAAATCCCATACATGGCAACACCTGCCTGGAGTTTTCATGTTCTCCCTGTGCCAGCGTGGGTTTCCTCCGGATACTCCGGTTTCCTCCCACACTCCAAAGACATGCTGGTAGGTGAATTGGCTCCTGTCTAAATTGGCCCTAGTTATGTATATGTATGAATGTGAGAGAAATTAGATTGTACACCCCTTGAGGGTTAGGGACTGATGTGAATGTACAATATATATGTAAAGCGCTGCGTAAATTGACGACGCTATATAAGTACCTGATATAAAGAAATCCCAAATAGTGTTGTCAGTCTTGCCTGATGATCTACAGCAATCCAGCTATCCCTATCCCACCCCCCATGGATGTGTGCAAAACAATGCTAATGTCATGACTCCAAAGAGCCTGGCACACATTGTGAGACAAGGGCTACTGGGGAGGGGGGTGTAGTTCTGAGGGCGTGCCTACATCAGTAGGAAATCACTTCAAGGGTTTTACAAGCCTGGTGATGACACAAGAAATATTTAAAGCAGAACTAAAGGGTACAAAATATACATTTCTTTTAACTGTCCCAGTCCCTCACTGGCATCTTCTTTTGTCTGCCGGTCTTCAGCCATCTTCATTAGCTGATGCAGGATGACGTCTCTCCTGCGCATGCACAGAAGCCAGTCCTCCCGGCACACAGGGATCTGGTCCATACTGTAAGCTAAGCATGCACAGGTTACATGATGGAGAACACTGAGCAGACATGTAGGTATGTTTTATTGAAGAAGAAACAGAGAAGAATTACTAAAACTTAGGAGTGAAAAATCTGATACAGCTGTGCATAGTAACCAATCAGCTTCCATGTTTTATTGTCAAAGCTTAATTGAACAAGCTGAAGTTAGAAGCTGATTGGCTACCATGCACAGGTGAGCCAGATTCTGAGTGCTTCAGTTTCAGTAAATCTACCCCAGTGGATGTGTCTTCTGCCATAAAAAGCCTGCCTGCTCGCAGTGGGGGACAGTGGAACTTTAGTTATAAGGACATTTCTCACTACAGGAACACAATAATAATTAATAATAATGCTGGGACAAACGTTGGACAGTTTGCAGATGTTCACAGAGAGAAGTTTAGAAGCAGGTCATGTTAAAGGGTCGGCATGTTCGGAGTTATACTTTCTAGTTATACATTAGTAGATTGTTCTTCTATGCTTATCTTTTGTTATCAGAGAAACCTTTAAACTTCAAAGATGCTCCAAAGATAACAGAGGCCACAGCATTCAGCTCCTGGAACAACGTGACTATACATTGAGAGTCATATCTACAGTTCACCTCTAAATATTTCTGTATTAATGTTTTTCTATCCAGTAGTTTTAAAGTCTAAGTCCGATCAAAAACTAAAAGACCTGCTCCTACCCCCATTCTAATCCCTATACTGACTACCCTGTAAAGGAAAGAGGTCTATATCTATTCCCTGGGCACTCCGATCCGGTTACATGATCGGCTCCCAGTGCCAGCTTCAGTGTAGAGAGGTGACAACAATATATGCCCCATAGTAAGTCTATGGGTGATGTAATTGCAGTCATGGTGTGATCTCCCCTCTTGCCTGAAGCCAAGCACTGGGGAGAGCAAACCGGACTGGAGCACCCTCAGCATAGGCAAGTCTAAGCATCTTTCCTCTACAGTGGGGGTCGGCAACCCACCAATCTCACAGCCCGGTGACAGGTAGATGGTGTCCTTCCTTGCAAACCCCCAGACTGCTCCTCCCACATGTGCAGAGCAGCGCAGGGAAGGAACACCTTAGTTGGCTGCACTACTGAGAAGCAGAAGGAAGGTGAACCTGGACAGAAGGGGCAGCATTTACTGGGACCAGTCCCCTGTAGTTCTGCCCTGCTGCAGCTGAAAGAGGGAGGAGAAGCTGGCTTTCAGCTGCCGCAGAGGGGAATTAGAACAATGCTGACGTTATGAGAAGTGATGAAAGTGTGTGCTGCCAGCAGAGAACTCCCTTAGGTGCAGTGGTCAGCAGCAGCAGTGGGAATCCTGGGTTGTATCCACACGACAACATCTGCATGGAGTTTGAATGTTCTCTCTGTGCTTCATGGGGGTACTCTGGTCTTCCCCTGCACTCGCAAGACATCTATTAGGCATGCACCTTGTCCTTCTAGCACCATCTATTAGACTCAGCAGTGCCCCCGCTCCTCCCCGCACAGCTCAGCCGCGCCCCGGAGGACAGCCCTCGCTCCTCCCCGCACAGCTCAGCCGCGCCCCCGAGGGCAGCCCTCGCTCCTCCCCGCACAGCTCAGCCGCGCCCCCGAGGGCAGCCCTCACTCCTCCCTATAATGAGGGGCCTGCCATAGGATGACACTGCTCTGGCTGTAATGCTGGGATGGGGAATCACAGCTCCCTCACACTCTCCACAAGACTTGTCGGTATCAGGAGAGATGAAGGACATACACCACACCGAGCCTCCTCACCTGGCTGAGTCCAGTCCTGGAGTAGTTCCTTCCGGAGAGCTGGGCGGGAAGAGCAAAGGCGCTGTACCCAGCTCCGCAGAATGCCCCGAGCCCCGGCCGCCATCATCCTATCACTCCGCTACCTGCAAACTGCGATCACTTCTAACTCTTCTCTCATTCCATACACTGGAACTCCTGTCCCCGCCCACTTCTGCAACTCATGCCCCACTTCCGTCCAGCCTGCCAGCCATGTCTGCCTTCATTTCCGCAACACTCTTCCCCATTTCCACCGGCCTGTCGACCAAACCCTCCATTTCCGCTATCATGCCGAGAAGGGTTGGGATTGGAAGTCACATTCTTCCTGTCCAGAGAAGAGCTCCAGTCTGTAGCCCCACCCCCTTTAAAAGTATACACAGGAAATATGTGGCAGGACACATGTGACCTGCACTTCCTGGAATAGTATCTATTGGTTGTTTATGATATTAAAGTATATTTAAAACAAAACAGGTGGAGTGGAGATCACATGCCTCCTGTCGAGTGGAGCTCCACTATGCAGCCTCTGCTTGCTTGTTCCATTATATTTCACTAGACCAGGGGGAGTGGAGGTCACATGTTTCCTGTCGAAAACGGAGCTCCATTCTGCAGCCAGACTCCATTGGTGTTGGTTGTTTGTTAATATTAAAGTTCATTTAAAAAAAAATTGGAGTGGAGGTCACCTGTTTCCTGTCCAAAGTGGAGCTCCATTCTGCAGCCAGACCCCTATCGGAATTTCTAGCACACACTTTTCTCACTTCCGCCCTGACTGTGAATATTGTTTCCTCCAGTGTCTCCCCACTTGTGATGGTGTTTGTTGTGACATATGTTTCTGCACTGAACTAACCATGTACAGAGTATGTGAGCTGTGCTGCAGAGCAGTTCTACAATGCTGGTTGTCCTGACCCTGACTAGGATTGCCACTTCATCCCTGTAATATATTAACCACTTGCCCTCCGGAGGATTTACCTCCCTTCCTGGCCAGGCCATTTTTTGTGATACGGCGCTGCGTTACTTTAACTGACAATTGCGTGGTCATGCAACACTGTAAATTAAATTTGTCTTTTTTTTTCCCATAAAGAGAGCTTTCTTTCGGTGGTATTTGATCACCTTTGCGACTTTTATTTTTTTTTGCTATAAAAAAAAAAAAAATTTTGAAAAAGAAAACCCAAAACAATATTTTTGACTTTTTGCTATAATACATCCAGTAAAAACATTTAGGCCAAAATGTATTCTGCTACATGTCTTTGCTAAAAAAAAAATTCTAATACATGTAAATTAATTGGTTTACGTGAAAGTTATAGCGTCTACAAATGGCGGTGTACAGTTAGGTCCATATATATTTGGACACAGGTACAATTTTAGTTTTTTTTTTTTTACAGGTATTTACCAAAACATATTCAAGTGATAGTTATATAATGGATATGGGCTGAAAGTGCACACTCTCAGGTTTTATTTGAGGGTATGTACATCCAAAATGGAGGAAGGGTTTAGGAATTACAGCTCTTAAGAGTAGCCATCCCCCCTTTTTCAAGGGACCAAATATAATTGGACAATTGAATCAAAAGCTGTTTCATGGCCAGGTGTGGGCTACCCCTTTGTTATTTCTTCATCAATTAAGCAGGTAAAACGTCTGGAGTTGATTCTAATGCAGGCCATAGACGGGTTGAAAACCAACCATTTAAAAAAAAAAAAAAAAATGAAACATCGGTCGTTCAATTGGCTGACATTACCATCAATGGTAAAAAATCGGCCGATATTCGTCCCATCTATGGCCGGCATTTTTACTTCTGTCCCTTGCAGAGAGCTTCGTTATTATATTTTACATGAAAAAGTCTTGCGGTTGCAACAATGTATCCATTTGTATCCATTTCGGATACAGATGTTCTTATTCAGATACAAATAGATACATTGTTGCAACTGCAAGACTTTTCATATAAAATATAATAGCGGACTGGAAATCTTCTTCTTCTCCTTCAAAACGATCGACGGATTTGCCCATCATTGCTGGGAAAATCGGCCGCAAATTTTCCAACTTGACCGATAAAAAAAATGTGCCAAAACCCCAAAAAACGGCCAACCAATTAACCCACTAACAGTGCGAAAATCGGCCGATTTTTTTTTCGCATGAAAAATCGTCAATTTTCGACCCATCTATGGCCTGCATAAGTGTGGTATTTGCATTTGGAATCTATTGCTGCGAACCTACATCATGCGTTCAAAGGAGCTGTCCATGCAAGTGAAACAGGCCATTGTGAGGCTTCAAAAACAAAACAAATCCATCAGAGATATAGCAGCCACATTAGGATTTGCCAGATGAATAGTTTGGTACATTCTGAGGAAAGAAGAACCACTGGTGAGCTCAGCAACATAAAAAGGCATGGACGTCCACAGAAGACAACAGTGGTGGATGATCGCAGGATCCTCTCTATGGTAAAGAAAACCCATTCACAACATCCAGACAAGTGAAGGACACTCTCCAGGAGGTGGGCATATCATTGTCAAAGTCTACAATCAAGAGAAGACTTCAGGAGAGCAAATACAAAGGGCTCACCACAAGGTGCAAACCATTCATAAGCCTGAAGAATAGAAAAACCAGATTAGACATTGCCAAAAAAAAATCTAAAAAAGCCAGACCAGTTCTGGAAAAGCATGCTTTGGACGAAGGAAATTAAGATTAATCTGTACCAGAATGACGGGACGAAAAAAGTGTGGAGAAGAAATGGAACAGCTCATGATCCAAAGCACACAACGTCATCTGTAAAACATGGTGGAGGCAGTGTGATGGCATGGGCATGCATGGCTTTCAGTGGCACTGGGTCATTGGTGTTTATTGATGATGTGACAAGACAGAAGCAGCCAAATTAATTCTGCAATGTTTAGAGATATACTGTCAGCCCAGATTCAGCCAAATGCAGCAAAGTTGATTGGATGGCGCTTCACAGTACAGATGGACAATGATCTAAAACACACTGCAAAAGCAACCCAGGAGCTTTTGAAGGAAAAGAAGTGGAATATTCTGCAATGGTCGAGTCAATCACCTGATCTCAACCCAATTGAGCATGCATTTCACTTGCTAAAGGAAAAACTAAAGGCAGAAAGACCCACAAACAAAGAACAACTAAAGACATGTGAAGACAGAGAAAAGATAAGAGATAACACGTGATAAATCTGTCAGAGGTGAAGTCAGTGGTTAAAGATAATGTGGCTAGAGACAGGCAGCATTGTGCTTTAAATGCCGGTTTCTGGTAAGTGGAATCCATTTATCATGGAAACAAGCTTTATTAGTTATTAAACCTTGGTACAAACTCACAGTTCTTGTTTTCTTTCAACCTGCGGGCTGAGCGACAAAAAAACCTGACACATCGCTTATGTTGGTGTGGCGATCTCCCTTGCTGTTCTATTGAATTCCCCCCAGAATGCACAGATCGGCTCTCGCAGCCATTGGCTGCAAACTCTGCTTGGATGCTAGTTCTCCAGCATGTCCCGTTGAAAAGGAATAGACAGCTGTACACACTGACCAAAAGTCTGTGTGTACGCAGCTTAAGACGGTCCATACGTGGTTTACATTAATGCTGATTCCTGCTGGCTCAGCTCTAAATTAAGCAGTGTATGGCCCTGCTGGCACTACTCTGTTCAACAAAAGTTGATTGCGACAGTAGACTGTCAGGAAATTGCCAGCCAAAGAGCACTTACATCCAGTTGATACGTTAGTGCCCCTAGTGTTCAGCGGAGGGTCCCAGGGGACTGTCAAATGCCATCCTGCTTGCTGTTCCCCTCTTTCTTTTGAAGGTTGCCATGGAAGATTGCGGCATGCAGAGATGTCCATCAATAGAGTCCCTATTGGCTGGTTTAGGCAGCTAGTGTAGCACATGTCACTGTTTACCAGGTTCAGCAGCTGCCTAGGAAGAATGGGCAGCCAGCTGAGGAGTGACGACATTTGGCTTCCACCCTCCCTCCCCTTTCTTCTTTAAGTCTCAGTGTTTTTTAGTGGGGTTAGTCATCCAATCTAGTCCTGGATGGATAATGTTATATTATTATCAGAAAATTATTTATAGTTGGTCTGTGCCTTTTAACATTGAACATATAACTTTGGGTTACACCTTATCTAATTTTAGACTTGTGGTGTGCTACACGTGCCCAAAAAAGGGTCATTGTACACAGGACGTGTGTAGCACGTCCAGTCCTTCTGTCCCCTCCCAAACCCCCTCCCAGTATACAGCAATTAGGCTCTGATTAATCAAAGTCGGTAGGGATGCACCAATACCGATGGCGGTATCGGTATCTGTGCCGATACCAAGTATTTTCATGAGCTTCACAAGATGCTCCTGATACCCAAATCAATACTTTGTGGTGCACTTTGCATTAATACAAAATGTATGGATGTAAACTGTACCATGACAGTGCTGACCAGTCAAAAGCCGTCAAGCCCGTACTGTCATCCCTGCAAGGAAAGGAGAGAAAGCCACAGGGATTTGACATTTCTCTCTTTCTCTCCTCTCCTACAGCTGAGAATCTGGAGCATCTGCCTCCATCCTACTATGGCCGACACCAAGGTATACATCCCCACACACCCTTCTCTCCCACTCTCCACTCAGCATGGGATCGGCGCAGGGAGGTTTCCCCACTTCTCCTGTGTGAACTCAGACTATGACAAGCCTGGGTTGACACAGGAGCAGTGGGGAAACTGCATACGATTTGGACAGGTGTATCATTCCTGTTCAAATCGCATGCTATTACATGATTACATCCATACATGATGTAGATCACACTGCAAAGTATCGGTACTTGGTATTGGCAAGTACTTGACCGAAAGTATCAGAACTCGCCAATCAAAAATGGTATCAGTGCATCCCTGAAAGCTGGAATTGTGTACAGAGAAGGTTGGCAGCTTCAAGTGTTACTAAACCCAGGACACTGAAATCACTCTATCTGATCTCCCACAGTACACACAACATGGAAGTGCAATTATTTTAGTAAATATAAACTGCTAAATACCTCTTCTCATCAGCAGTTAGAGTAGTCATGTGACTTCTATCAGTGTCTAGTCCACCCCTAGTTAAAGCTTGTAGGAGTTTTCTTTCTGCTCTAGGA